GCCCCAAGAAAGTAATCTTTGTGAACTTTCATTTGGCCAAAGCACCTTGGCTGCCCAAGCGATGACAGCATGGAGGGAGGGTCTGCTGTCTGTCTGCTTGGCCCTCCGCCTCTGGGCCAGACCAAAAGAAATCGAAAGTTCCGTGTGCTGGGGGTTTCGATTTCATGCAGTGCCAATCGCCAATCGCAGCCCTGCCCTGCCTTGGATCCGGGGTGATTCACATACAGCGCAGCACACATGGGGCATGCATGGGCCCAGGCATGGCTTCGAATGACGTAGATCCTCTGCACAAGCACCAGCATAAATGCGTTTGTTTGAATTCAAAATAATGCTTTTTGTGATTCGCTGTGGTTACGCTGGCAGCCCCTGCCATCCGCCATCCGCCATCCAAAACGGAATTGGGTCAGGGACGTGCCTGGCATGCTAATTGAGTTACGGATATGCCTCACGGCCTGACGCATCTCGATCTCGATGGTACGTGGGCAGGCCCAGATCCAGCTCGGTTTCTGTTTCTGTTTCTGTTTCGGTTTCGGTTTGTTTTGTCTTTTCTTTCTAGAAAATTAAGCCCCGAACCGGGGGGTTCGCTTGGAGTTCGCTTGGAGTTCGCTTGGTTGGGAAAGGCAATGGTTTGTGCGTAGAGAACTCAGATGTGATGTAATTCGTAAGGGAAAGTAAGGCAATATCTGGAAAAGAGTTAAGCATTCCATGAACCTACCTTTTATTGAATGATTAACAGCTCTTGGTTCGAGTATACTCAGATCTCCACTTACTCTCACTCTTTATTTGCATTTTTATAGAACCATCTGATGGTGATAAACGTGATAATTTGATATACAAATCGTATATAGAGAGATATTTAAGGGGTAACAACTAGAATACATTAAAGTTCTTCTTCCAGTTACAAATCTTCATGTCTTTCTGTTGCAGAAGAACTCTTTAAAAATATACAAATATTCCCACTGCCTTTTACAATTTACTTAACACTTTATGCAAACATAAAAACAATATAAAAACTATATTAAAAAATGAAATAAAAGTTTGTCCAACACTAAACGTGTTTACCATTTCCCCCAAAAATCTTTATCTTTCGGCCGTTTCCTACATTTCTCACTTGATTTTGACAACAATAGCCCGAGGTAATCCCGAGTTCATTTAGTTAATTTTTTTGGAGTTTTTTTTTTTGGAAAATACTGAAACCTGTTGGCCTACGGTGTTTTGCGAGATTCGGGTGTCTGCTGGTATCTTTCTCCCACCTTTTCCGATGCCAGTGCAGTTATAACGGAGCACAATTTAAGCTCTTATTGTTTATCGACAAATTATTGTCGACCGGGGTCTGGCCCTAACAATGTCAATCATTATGCAAGTCCCCCCCACCCTCCGTGCACCCCAGCACGGGTCTCCGGTCTCCCGGTCAACGAGCTCAATGGAATCACCTCTGCGTCCCGAACGCTCTACAGATCTGATCTCCACTCTTTTTTTACTTTCCATTTCTTTTGTCAGTCGCTGCTGCTGCTGCTGCTGGGCCACAATTTGTTGAGTGTCTTTATGGCTTTTATTGTTATTGTTGGAGGCTTTTCCGTTGGGTTGAGTCTGTCGCCAGGCCCTAAAACACATTTATAAAGACAATGAACTTTTGCAGCTCTAGACGATGGTGAATGCTGTGGGGGGAATGCTGCTCCACTCCAGACTGTAGTAACTGCAGATCAGGTGCTGGCAGCATACTTTGGCACCAGACTGTTTGTCTACTGCTTGGCAAACAAAATATGTGCCTCCTATCTGGAGGCAAGAAAATGTTGATTTTTATTAGAGATTTAGCCGATGATTGCCTTCTAAACATTACTTTTGTTTTAATCGAATGGAATTGAGTTCGAAATTCTGTTGATTTATTGGTATAATTCATTGTAAGGGAATATAAATTGTACTTGTTTTAAAACAGAAAGCAGGAATTAGGATTTCTTTTCAATATTTCTAAGAATATCATTCCCTTGGTGGGGGGCGATTGGTACCCAAGAATCTTAGCTTCACTAACTTCGAATGATTTGTTTCTGTCCCTATGGTGATATTACTCCCACGACGACAGTTCCTCGGTGAATTTCTCTGTGTCCATGAAACTTGTCAATTGATTTTGAGTTTGGTTTCGGTGTTTCTTCGGTTGTTGGCGGCTGCTGCGCCCTTTTGGCCATATCTTCTGCTGATGGTTGGCCGCATAAATGGCGCTTAATTATTATTTTATGCATATGACTTGGCTACGGGTTGGGGCTTGGGTTCGGGTTCGGGTTACTTATGGGAGTCGAGCTGTGGCCGTGGCCGTGGACGGAGCCTGAGTCATGCGCCATATATCACTTTCACTCGCCAAAAGCCAAGAAATGCTAAAAGCAAAACGGCAAAAATCTCAATCGAGCATCGAAAGGCCCGAGACAGAGCCAAAGTCAGACGAAAGACGAAAGACAGAGCCAAAAGGCGTGTCTGGGTCTGGGGCCAAGGAACAGCTACGCTACAATACATGTGCCACATGCAACGCTACAAGCCTGGATCAGCTTTGGCTCTTTTGTTGGACTCCGCGGATGTCAATTTGCATTTAATTGCGAGAGACAGAGTCGAGAGCTAAGCCCCGGCATCAGCATCAGCATCCACTCCGATCCGATCCGATCCGATCACCAGTCGAGAGCTGCAGTTGAAAGGCGTTGAAAGGCCTCTGTGTCCGGCTTATGTCCGATATGGCCGATTGCATAAGCTGCATATAGCCTGGCTAAAAAAAAGAAAAGAGAGTTTTTTAAAATAGCTTCCTAACGCCTTCCAGTGTACAAAGGCCGGGCATCCATCAGCCTGATGGCTGGGCTTTGTTTGCTGTCGATCGAAGACCAATTTCCAATTCCACAAAGATTTTTGGGGGCTATCAATATTGATACAAGACATTTGGATGTTATGTGTATCTTTCGGGCTAGGCTTGGCTAGTCTCTCCGTTTAGCACAAAACACTCACACTCGACGATTTTCACTTTCGTTTCACACTGTGGCACATGCACACACTATGTGTACATATATCTCCCTCTATATAGACACCGATATCTGGCTGTGTGCGTATGCAAATTAGGTAGCGACAGCGACAACAAGGCGCAGAAATACCGTAAGTGGCCAACAGCAAAATCTCTGCTACAGATATGAGAAAAGATGAGGCACAGACACTGACACAGACAGAGATATCTCCGTATCACAGATACACAGATACGATAGTGGCCGCAAGTTAAGCGGTTTTTTGGCCAAATGAAAGAGAAATTGTGCTCGGTCCAAGTCGAGATATTGTGGAGTTGTTTTTTCTTGTTATTGTTATTAAAAATATGCTAATTGGTGCGCAAGCTGAAGCTAAAAGATACAAATGCCTGGCTCATGGCCCATAAGCATGAGCATTATGATTTAATCTATCTGTGAGTAGCCGCCACTTGAAGATATTTCTTCTGGGAATGAAATGGAATATACAATGACATAATCAGCAAAGAATCATAGACACCTATTATAGACTATTTTCAGCCATATCTCCATCGGTTTCTCCCGCTCCCAGTGAGAGCATCAAAGAGTTGTCAATACCACGCTAATTTCTCGACCGATTAAGCCCCTGCTGCGTATGGTTATGGGAATATATTATAAATTTGCAAAGCGGAAACCATAAGATACATAAATGATGCGATGCCCATGTGTGTGCTTGACTTTCTTTCAATCTTTCTAAAAGTTGTGTAACGTAACGCTTTGTATTTTTTTTAGGATTCATCGGTGGCGTTGCGCAACCCGGCATTTGTCACCCCCCTCGCGTTCCAAGACATTCGAAAATGCATTAATCAAATCAAAGTCGAACGGACTTTTCGTGAGGAATGAATGTGTGAGTGAGCCCAGAATGCGGCGATCTGTGGAGCGTGTAAAGTGAAAAGACTTTGGGGAATTTGACACCCATTAAAACGGTTCGGTTTTGGTTGTTGGGTTTCGGCCTTTTGCTTTCATTCAGAGCCGAGAAACCATCGTTAATTGATATCAAAGCTTGAAGTCGACTGGACTGGATGCGTTTGTGGCTGAGGCCATTTATAATTGCATTTTAATGCTATTTATTCAGTCGGATATTGGGGGGGAGGGGGGTAGATGGGCTGGGGATACACATGGGTCGCTGGGCCCTCGACGAGGGCTATCATTAGGCAACAGCAGCAGTGGGTTACTTAATGACCCTAAGCCAAAAGACCTCCAGCCTTTCTAGGGGGGCTGCAAACTGTGAAAGAGAAATGGCCGGGCGCAAGAAAGAGATGCGGAGAAAGCATCGCTGCCAGCCAGTGGCAGCAACCCAACTGCAACAATTCGCTAACCCAGCCAAACAATCACAGAGACAGCAGCAGCAACAAGAGAACAGATACATATGTATGTATATGTACCTCTAGATATGCAAATCCATTCATTCGCTGATTACTTTCGTTTGCTGTACTGTGGAAAGGTTGATGTGATGCTTTGGCTTTGCCTTGCAGATGTTCACGGTGTCTGATTTGATTGGTTTGCATATGAATTAACATGTAAATTGTATAGATTGTTGCACTGATTGGCACTAAATTAAATTGTAGACACTTAGCTTTGAGTAATACAGATTTAAATCAAACTTTGGTAATAGATTTGGCAACAGGAATTTTGGAATTTTCAAACAATGATACATGCTCAGTGGCGCCACCTGTAGGCATGCCTAGCAATCACTAATATAGTAAAAATGTTAAAAACCAGCCATTAAATAGTTTATTTAGCTGAATGTGGGCTGTGCAATCATTAAAAGTTTGTAGTAGATCAGATATACTGTGATTCTTGTGGAATTTTCGCCAGAAATTCCGATTCAGAAATCAATCCGATTAGCCGTGTTTCGCACCACAGGATTCCAAGTACTGTTTTCAAACACTTTACAGCACTGTGCCCATCAGCTGTTGGCTCCCGCGACTTTCAACACATTTCGCGCCAAAACACAATCATAATAGTGTGCGTTTTCAGATTGTTTTTGGTTGTGTTTTTTACTTTAACTCAAAAGAAGTGACCCAGAAACATGAGCGAAACGGTTGCCGAAACAGCAACGGCTGCAGAAAATGACGAGCAAGAAGACTCAATGGAAAAGCTGCAAGTGGAGGAGGAAGACGAGAAAAACGTTTCCGCTGAAGATTTGTTGGGTGGCAAAAGTCTGATGATGTCGGACAGCGAAAATGAAGATATCTCCGATGCAAAGGACCAGAAAGTGGCGTCCAAGAGCAGGAGGCAGCGATTTCTAGACAGCGATGATGAGGAAGATGGAAAATCAGTGCAGGAGAAGGTGGGCAGAGAGGTGGACCAGGCAGAGGCACAGATATCCCCCATATCCAGAAGACAGCGTCTCCCAGACAGTGATGATGAAAACGAAAGGGAATCCGATAAGGCAGAAGAGCACATCTCGCCGAAATCCAGTAGGCCTCGCTTTCCAGACATTAATGAAGAAGATGAGGAGTATATGGCCCCCAAAGCCAAGCAGAAGATATCTGCCATCATCGACACGGACAGTGAGGGAGAGCCGCAGGGGCCCAAGGAAGAGGACAAGCCAAAGAAAAAGAACAAGCGGGAAAAGAAAAAGAAACACCGAATGGACAGCGACAGCGACAGCGAAAGCGAAAGCCACAGCCATGACGAATCCCAGAAAGAGCAAAGCGGTGAGAAAACTAGTCCCGCAAAGAACAAACTCAAAGGTCTAGTGGACTCTGAATCTGAGCCGGAGCCAAGCAACGGAGAGGAGTCCGGCGGAGAGCAAGAGAATGCCACTGAAGTTCACGCCGAGGCACCTAAGAAAGCCAAGGCCGTGCGGGTAAATTTCTCCGTTCAATAGAGATTGGAAAATGCATTAACCAAATTCCGATTCCCCATTTTCTTAGGCATCGGCCAAAAAAGCGCTGGACACTATGCAGGCCATTCAGAGCGAGCAACAGCGGTTGCATCGCGAGGCGCACATTAGTGTGCCCTACCACCAGCCCAAACCGCGTACCCTGAAGGAATTTCTTAGCCGCCGCACTATCAATACACCTCTGGCCACGGCTATGGCCGGGGGGAGTCCCATGCCCAGCAAACAGCCAAGAAAATCGATGGGCCTGCGTATGAACAGAGAGGAACTGGAGGCATATGCGTAAGTACTGTAGATTCCATCGGAAAGTTGTGTTTCATTATTTTTACATTTGCAGAAAACTAATGGACGATCGCGCCAAGGAGGCCACTGAGTTTTTCAAGTCCGAATCGGAACCCGATGATGAGGATGGTTCGGACGACAATGAAGCGCCTGTGGAGAAAGATAATCCTGGTGTAATGGATGAAGCGGCAGACATCTTAGACGAAGTGAAGAAGCAGTCAGAAGAAATAGCCGAAGAGATAGTGAAAGACCTTGCTATGGAGGAGGAGAAGGTGGAAGAGCCAATAGCATCTACTTCTGCTGCAGCTGCCCTTAGGTTCGCGGAAATGAGCGAATGTCTACCAGAACCAGGGGTGGGATTATCCACCAAAGACTGCCTCGTCACGGAAGTTATTGAGCTGCCCAGATTGGATTTAAGTACTATTAATATCACGCCGCCTTCTAAGCCCGCTACTCCCCGGATAAGTGAGGCCATTCGAAGGCTGAAGATTGAGAAAAGCACGGATGTGAGTCCCTCGTTGAAAGGAGATGCCACAATGCTGATTGATCTGGAAACGGGCGACATGTTTGCCAAAAAATCAACCGGAGTTGACGATTTGCTACAACGTCTGATCAAAACACGAGAGGCCAAGAAGCACAAGACCACGGAGACTGTCAAGTGAGTAGAAGATGCCACCATTTAACACCCCCGACTAACGCCAATTTCCATTTAGCATCCTGTCTACGGCGCATGGGAAACTGGAGATGTCCAAGGTGAACATTCACTTGCATGAGGAGGAGCCTGTCAACAAGGATGCCACGCCTGGATCGGCCTATGTGAAAATGCAAGAGCAACTCAAGTCACGTATCACGCAGAAGCGCATGGAAGATCTGCGCAAAAAGCAGGCAGAGGAAAAGGAAAGAGCAGCAGAAGACGACGAAGAGGAAGGCATGGATGTGGATGAGGATGAGGAGTACGAGCCGGATGAAAAGCCTTGCCCCTCTGCAGTGGCCATCAATGAGGACGAGGAGATACTAGAAGAAGGCGAGGAAACAGCATTGGATGAAGCTGATGCTGAAGAGGATGTTCAATTAGATGCTGAAGTTGAAGATGTTACACCTGAATCGGAAAATAGCAGTGAAAGTGAGGAAGAAAGTGAGCCAGAGGAGGAGAATCTAGCTGGAAAGAAGAGGAATCGAATCATCAGAGCCTTCCAGGATGATGACAATTCTGATGAGGACGACTTGGATCTTCTACAGACTCCAAAGCCGCCCAGCAATGCCACACCCATGACGGCCACTCAGCTTCAACTGTCCGCCCACAAACTTTTCGATGCGGAGACCCGGCGCACTGCCAGCGACGAGGAGAATGAACTGCTCGACCTGTGCTCTGGCCAATTCCCGCAATCCCAAATGGGCTCCTCAGCAGCTCCCTCCACGGACACGGCGCTGATTAGTCAGATTCCCATGACACAATTTGGAATGGCAAGCAGCCAAGCCCCCGAAGAACTGGAGTCCCTCTGTTCAGGCACCTTTGCAACACAGCAGCCCACGCAGCAGACAGAACAGCCTAAAGAAGACTCCCAGCCGGTACAGGTAGCCAACAAAATTGTGTCCAGTGATGAGGAGACAAAGGAGGAACCCCTTGAGACAGAGAAGCCGCGCAACAAGAAACTCACCAAGAAAAAGCCAAAGAAAAGAGCTTTAGGCTTCTCCGATGACGAAGAGAGCGATGCCGAGGACTGCGACGAGGAGGAGGTGGAGCCGCTGGGAAGCGATGCAGAACCAGTGGAGGAGATACCCGAAACTTTTGTCGACTATGACTCCGAGGAGAATGAAATCGTTGTAGAAATGACAAAAAAAGATCGCAAGCTGCGAGCATCAAACTTTATGGAAAAGGAGGCGGAATTATCCGAGTCTGAGTGGGGCTCCGCCGACGAAGACGAGAAGAACATGGATACCTATGACATAGAACTGGGCGATGAAGATGAGTTCGATCGGGAAAAGCTACGCAGCGAACTCGGACAAATCCATGCGTAAGTATAAACGTAGGATAGACTTAACAAACAAATGTCATTCGGATTTCTTTTTTTCACAGACGCAAAATGCTCGACCAGGATATACGGGAGGTGCGTCAAATCAAAGAAATGCTTTTCGAGGACGAAGAGGGAGCCGTACGACAACGCCAGTTCCGCTGGAAAAATGTCGATAGTGGTTTCAGTCTAGAGGATCAGCAGCGCACTGAGAACGGTGAGGCCAACGAGGGCAGTGGCGATGAGGAGAACGAGCATATGTGGCGCAAGATTCGCTACGAACGCGAGCAGCTCCTACTGGAGAATGGACTGAAAGCGGTGAGTGCAAGATCGATTATCGTATGGATATCAGTTTCTGAATTTGAATCATTTAGGAGGGTGCCACCCCCCTATCTCCAGCCGTGGCGAACAACACCAGCAATTCCGGAAACTCTATTCGTAGGCTGAACATAATCACAGCCAAGAAGACGACGGTGGAGATGAAGAAGAGCTCCCCGTTCCTAATCTCAAAGACTGTGACTGGAAGGCAGCAGAAGGGCACGGTACGTGGCTCCTTCCTCGTGCGGGACAACGAAACACTCACCAAACTGGCTGGATTTACTAAGGGAAGTGCTGGCGATGTGGACGGAACAGCGGGAACTGTTTCCGTAAAGACGGCCAGGGCCAAAAACTTTGTGTTTGCCACGCTAACAGAGGAGGAACACGAGGTAATAGTTTCGCCTGCATCTCTCATAGTTTCCAATCACTCTAATGTATATTTTTGTCGTTTTCAGAATCAAAAACGCAAGGCGGCGGATTTACTCAACAGCAGCAGTGAAACGGGAGTTAATTTCATGAAGAAGCCGCGCCTGGAGCCACGTCGGGAGAAGTGCCTTATTGATCAACTTCTTTAGTATAGAGTTGTTAATTTTTTTGATTAGCTATGATTAAGTTTGATAATTAGGTTTTATGATAAAAAATAGTAATTTTAAGTCGTTTTAAATAAAAACAACATTTCCAACACGCTTCACAACACTGCTCTAGTGAGACCATATTTCGAAACGCACAAAATCCCACAACACATAGACATGTTTACATATATTGTAAGCTAATTTATTTGTAAATTTATACGTGAATATGTGAGTAAATTATATATTACACCGTCTCCGTGCATTTCGGGAGCAGCGAGAACAAAGGCTTCGAAGCCCAGAAACGCCCCCGCCCTATCAAGTTGCGTGTAGGTATCGTTAAGTTAATCTAATCTGAGAAAAACTAGACAGCCCAGCGACTGCGCTGCCCCGTGCCTTAAATTTTATAAACTACGAAGCCGGCTGGACTGCGGCGAATCATTAAACATTTACCAGAGGACGCCGCCGGACGCTTAGCGCAACGCCACCGCCGTGCAATAAATAAACAAATAACAGCGACGCGACAGCAATTACAACACAATGGTGGCCCCGTCGAAGCTCAGTCAAGTTTTTAGCTACCAAAACTGGGTGCATGCCATCTCCGGTGCTGCCGTAAGTGCATAAATATTTGCCGGTTAAAGGTCAAATCACGCTAATTACCATACCAACATCTCTTTGTAAATAGGGTGGCTGCATAGCCATGAGCACCTTCTACCCACTGGACACGGTGCGTTCCCGCCTGCAACGTAAGTCTGAGGCACTGACCGAGTCTCGCAACCAATCTCAATGGCCAAGATAAGCCATAACAGACCCACACACATAGATAATAAGTATTATTATTAGGAGAGTTCAAACTCCAGCGAGACCCACTAATCAATTTCCCCCCGCTAATCCAATTTCGTGGTTTGTGTATCGATGAGATATGATGGTCATGGTCTGCTTTCGAACCATATCGATGGGTCCCGTCCCAGTGATATGCGCTTCTTAAGTGTGTACCATCCATTCCATTTGGCATAGAATATAATGAGCGTGGGCATTGTGTTGCTAAATTGAATAGTATAGGGTTAACGTCAATAACCTTTCTCGAAATTAGGTACGGTAATTATCATATTACGGTCCAAGGTTCAGTTGGTAGCTTTACTTTCTATATTTGTGACCCATTAAATTAGCGGAGAATCAGAAGCTAAAGTTCTGTGGCCACAATATTAATGTTTCCCTTTGTCTAATTTCAGTGGAGGAGGCTGGTGAGGTGCGCAGCACCATGCAGATGCTCAAGGAGATCGTTCTGGGCGAGGGTTTCCAGTCGCTCTACCGCGGACTGGGTCCAGTTCTCCAGAGCCTGTGCATTTCGAACTTTGTTTATTTCTACACATTCCATGCCCTCAAGGCGCTGGCCTCGAATGGAAAAGCATCGCAGCAAAGCGCACTGAAGGATCTGCTGCTTGGCTGCATCGCTGGCGTGATCAATGTCCTTACAACCACTCCCTTCTGGGTGGTCAACACGCGACTGCGCATGCGCAACGTGGCCGGGACCTCTGATGAGGTCAACAAGCACTACAAGAGTCTTGTGGAGGGTCTCAAGTATGTGGCCAAAACAGAGGGTCTCGCCGGCCTGTGGTCGGGAACGATTCCCTCGCTGATGCTCGTCTCGAATCCTGCGCTGCAGTTCATGATGTACGAGCTGTTAAAACGGAACATCATGACCTTCACCGGTGGAGAGGTAGGCAGCCTGGGCTTCTTCTTCATCGGGGCCATTGCCAAGGCCTTTGCCACGGTGCTGACCTATCCCCTGCAGTTGGTGCAGACCAAGCTGCGTCATCGCAGCAAGGAGGCTACAGCCGCACCCTCAACGTCCCGACAGGCGGGCCAAAAAAGCGAGAGCACTCTGGAGATGATGATCAGTATATTGCAGCACACAGGAGTTCGAGGTCTGTTCCGTGGCCTGGAGGCCAAGATTCTCCACACCGTGCTCACTGCCGCGCTCATGTTCATGGCGTACGAGAAGATAGCCAGCACAGTCGGCCTGCTGCTCAAACGGAATGCATAGAGGAGGCTCTAGTCTACATAATTATACACACACATGACTTAGATACGGATATGGCCAGCATACACTCCAAAGTTAGCCGTTAAGCGTTGATGGATTAAAGAAAGAACAAATTTAACGAGGAACTTCTATAAAATTTTATTCATTCTGCACAGCAGGAGAGGCGGCGGAAGCTTTGTCAGTCTCATCGGTGGGTCTGTCCTTGTCTGACTCCTCGGCTGCATCCTCATCATTGGGCTTTGCTTCTTCCACAGACTTCTCTTCAGCCTTGGTTTCGGCGTCACCATTCGATTTCTTCTCGCTCGGATTGGCCAGCTCGACCAGGTTGTACTTCTTGGACTCCAAGTAGTTGTCGATCACGCTGAGCAGGCACCAGCCACGGAGTACTTCTACAATAATGGATTTCTTGGCTTGCTTCAGGTCCACTTTGTTGCCCGCGTTCTTGGAGTTGACCAAATCAGCCAGTTCGAGTATTATCTGATCACGCTTGATCTGCTGATTGTAGCGATGGTTGAATATAATGCCATAACTGGTGGGCTCCTTCAGGAAATGCTTATCAAAGAGCGGCCCGGCAGCGGCGATTATGTCCGGCATATTGGCGCGGCAAACGGCCTCAATTGGGACCAGGCGCAGGACAAAGCGCGACATCGACTTGCCAGTGGTGGTTATATCGTCGACAATGTGTTTGCCCAGCCCAACCGGATCGTCCAGAAGAGTGCGTATGAAGATACAGTTGGTGGTGCCGGTTTCCACGTTTTGGAAGCGCACCTTGCGCTGCGTGAGAGTCTCGCGGCATTTAGCAGCGGCCGCATCCAAGTCGTCATCGTCGTCGTTGGTGGATCCAGAACCCTTTCCAGTATCGCCAGCGGACTGCTTCTTTTCTGTCTCTTTCGGCTGTTCGGGGCCGTACAGAATGTCAGCGTAATGGTTCAGCAAGTTGTAGCATTCGCGCACGCAGCCCTTTTCGTTGATGTTGCAAGTGGCGAAAAAACCGCGCTGGCCGACCTGGAGCACTTGCTTGTTGCTCTGGAAGTACTTTTTCTTATTTTTCTGGTGGAACTTGCTGTGATTCGTCATTTTGGATTTTTTATTTGCCGGCTCCATCAAAAAAAGCACAATTTACCGGTTTAATGTGATTTGATTTTAATGTGACCGAAGAAATGTCAAATTATCAGTGCTGTTAAGATTGTTTATTTACTTAAATATTTAGAGGCTTGTTTATAAACGGTAAAGTAAACGGCAATAAATCTGTGTTAGTTTGGTGGTTCATTCATAACCAGCAAGAGCATATACAGAGCCTTTCTACCTCTTACTCTCGCTACATGCTTTCACATAATGTTCTTATGGAATGTAGTGGAATACGACCATTAAGATTGTTAAAATCGAGCACTGTCCAACACTATGGAAGCATCGCTCTTGGAGCTGTTTCCGCGCTTTGTCGACTTAAAAGATCTGCTTCAAAATGAAGTTGAAGCTCGTTATATACTCAAAAAAGCAACGGACTTCTTGGAGAGGATTAAGTCCAAAGGTACCGCTGGCGAGGATGAGGAAATTCGATATCTGGTATGCGCCCTGGTGGACAGAAACTGGGAGCGCATACACACCGGCCATTTCAGCAATGTTCCTCTAACGATACGGAAAATCTATGCTATTGCATGTTTCTTTAAGGTGAGACTTGTTTTCGACTTTACTTGTTGACTAATGGTGTAATTTTCAGATATTCTTCCTACTTATGGAAAGCTCAAATCCAAGGCAAAAGGAACAATGCAGTGGGATATTGGACGAAGCCCAGCTGCTCGGCTGCACAGATGACTGGAGCGACCTCAAAGCAGCCCTAATGGAGTACTTGGATAAAGGCCAAGAGGAGCCTACACAGCCATTGCCCATTTTGCCGGCTGTGATGAGAGTTTCGAGCCCCTGTGATATACCCCAGCTAGATGCTCCTGGATTGAATGAGTTTAAAACGAAATGTTTCCAGCCGCAGCAGCCCACGCTTCTGCTGAACACCATTAAGCACTGGCCAGCAGTGGACAAATGGCGGGACTTGAACTACCTCCTCAATGTGGCGGGCAATCGCACAGTTCCCATAGAGATTGGCTCCAACTATGCCAGCGACGAGTGGTCGCAGCAGCTAGTAAAAATACGCGACTTTCTGCGTAGGCAATTTGTTGTTGACCAATGTGGAGACGGACGTCGGGAAATTGAGTATCTTGCCCAGCACGAGCTCTTTGCCCAGATACCAGCCCTGAAAGCCGATATCTGTGTGCCCGATTATTGCACTGTGAGCGGTGCGGAGGAGACGGCAGCAGCTGTGGACATCAAGGCCTGGCTGGGACCAGCCGGAACCATATCACCCATGCACTATGATCCCAAGCACAATTTACTCTGCCAGGTGTTTGGATCCAAGAAGATTATACTGGCAGCCCCCAAAGACGCGGATAATCTGTATCCGCACGAAAGCGAATTTCTCGGCAACACATCGCAAATAAATGCCGCGGAGCTAGACTACAAGACGTATCCCCTGCTGGAGAGGGTGCGCTTCTATAAACTGCTTCTTCAGCCAGGCGACTGCTTGTATATGCCACCCAAATGGTGGCACTATGTGCGTGCGGAAACGCCAAGTTTCTCTGTCAGTTTCTGGTGGTAGTTGACCTCACTATGGCATTCTTTTGTATTATCTTATGTTACTCATCTGTTTCTTTATCTACTTGTATGGATGAAATGCGATAATCAGATCGGCTTGTCAGTAAATAAACAGGTTGCCCCTGACGTCATTGTATTCGAATGATGTAGACTATCAGCTGGCTGGCGCTGAAATCATGAATCATCAATTCAATCGAACGGGATCAGAAGTACACGTTTTATGGTTGTTCTTTTATTAGCCACGGTTCATGTGATTAGTGTGATTTCCTGTGGCAAAACAAAACTTAAGATATACAAGTTAATGCATCGAGTAGAAAGCAAAAATTTTCTGGCATACAGAACATAAAGAATTCGCAACACGCATCAATAAACCTTTATCAATGGGTGCGGTGTGGTTTATATATATATGAGAATTAACATTAAAATGTGTGCCTTTTCGATTTCTAATCGTTAATAATCTTTTGTTAAATGTGTGTTTTTGCTGTCGCTGTGCCCCACCGCCGTTTATAAGTCTTATCGGTATTAAAGTATTGGGCTCGGGTGCCCCCGCCTTGCCGAGTGCTCAATCATCCTTGCTGCCAGTGGTGGTTCCACCACCGATGGTGATGCGCTTCTCCAGCTTGCTGTACTCCTCGGTCAGGCGGTCGTATTCACGGTTGATGCTCTCGGCCTGCGACTTGACAGCCTCCTTGTCCTTCTTCTCGCGGTTCAATTCGGAAGTCAGCTCCTGGACGCGCTCGCGCAGCTTGTTGAGCTGTAAGACGATTGTTGTCAAGTTGAGTGTTTGTTGTGTGTTTGTGTTTGGGTGGGGATTTGTGGGGAATGTCTGGGTGTGGCTAAGGATACTTAGGATACTCTGGCCGTGAGTCCTTGCACACGTCTCCGTAGGCTGGACAACTGTTTAAAGAGTTTACAAGAGTTTATGTACTTTCGAGTCGCTTTTCGAGGCGTGCAGGGCCCAACTTTTGTGTGTGGGAGTACTGTCAGTGGGTAGCATTGCCATTTATTACAGCTGGTAGTAGCCAAAGAAACTCCAAAGTTATAGGTGTTAGGTTTTTTTTGTCCAAGCTCTCTAAACATGCCAGACCTGGAGGGGGACGGTGCAAGATGCCGACCAAAAAGTAAACAACTTACCTCATTCAGTGTGGTGTCCTCACCAGCCTCCTTAGCCTTCTCGGTCTTCTTATCCTCCATCAGGGAACGAGCCGCAGCCGTGGCGCTCTGGGCCTGCTTCATCGAGGCCTCGCTCTGGGCCAACAGATTGGCCTGGGCTGACACCAGTGTAACCAAGCGGCGGATGACCAGAACCAGGAAAATCGCAAAGCCAGAGATGTAAAAGTTGCGCTGGGCACGGAATAGACGCATGCTGTGCTGCATCTCCACGTTCAGGTGCACCTCGCCGGACTGCTCATAATTCGAATACTTGCGCATCTCACGAATGGCCTCCAGCAAGAACAAGACCAACACACCCATAATTAAGAAGAAGTAGATGTGCGCCTGCTGTGCAAGCAAGGCCAGGAATTTGGACTTGAAGAAGCGATTCCATCTGTAGGGGCTGGCCACGGGCAGCACCAGTAGCAAAACCAATGCAATCTCTGCATAGAGAAAGCCGGCGATCAAAGTCCAGACCAAACTCATTTTTTCTTAATGCAAATTTCTGGACACGACAAAGTTAAACTTTAGCACTGGTCGGTTTCGATGATTTCGATTTTTCGAGTACGTCTGCAAAAAAAATTTTCCTTAGATTATTGTCCAATATGCACGTTCCGCGAGCGTTCTTTGTGTGCGGCTATTTTTAAACGACAGACGGAGTACCGAGCGGGGACTTACTTTAAATAGCAACAAATAAAATATATCGCAGTGATGAAATATGTATTTTTAATGCTGTCACTTCAGCGGCCACGTCAACTCTGCTTTTTGTGTATAAAAATGCCTCTATGTGGGGCAAAAAAAGGCTACTTTTAGCGGGATTGTGATTCTGCTCACAAAATCGCCAAATTAAAATTTAAAAATCAAATTCAACCAAATTCATTATGAAAATGATTATCTTTATTAATTCAAGGTTCATACATTCATATATTTCTCCACCTCACACTGCCTTCTTTTCCCATAAGGTCTCCGTCTGGTCTCAAGCCTAGTGGAATGCAACCATAGGAAAATACCCGCCAATTTCAATAAAAAGCCAACAAGTCAATGAGTCACATATGGCCAAAAATCGACAAGTGTGGCAACCGTGACTGTATTATTATATTTAATTGAGATTTTAATTTAATTTAAATAATATGTTTATTTTGTATTATTCACTGGAGAAGCAAACTACATACAATTGTAATGTTTTCGTTGCCAACTTTGACAACCCTGGCCCTGGTGACAGCTGGGTTGCCAGGGGCAAATGTGCTTTTAACTTTGCGCCATCGATCAAATTTACTTGTATCATTATTATTATATTCGTAGTCACAAACAATAGCAACGCATCTGCTCACCGCAAAGATGTCTTACCAGAATTGGCTAAACTACTTGACGTCGGCTGAGAAGAACTCGATGATCAGCGGCCGACTGCGCAAGGTGCTCTACAAGTTTCCAGACGGCCAACAAATGGCCGAGGACTACAATTTAGACACCGGCGTCGTGCTGCGTCGAGCCTGGCGCAAGTGCAAGCAACTGATGGGACAGCCCGAGTGGGAAATTGAGTTGGGCGAGGAGCCCCGCCAGCTGAATTGGTCTGGCAACACAACCAACGGAGCAGGAGATGCAGCTAACACGCCTGATGACGACTTCATGCTGCGCGAGAGCAACACCGCCCCCCTGCTGACAAAGCGGGTGACCAAGAAGAACATCGAATGGCGCATCCGCAACATGCCCTATCCCCTGAATGTGTACAATGTCAGCGCTAGCCCCGAGCAGCACTCAATTATTGTACGCACTACCAATAAGAAGTACTACAAGGTGATTCCAGTACCTGAATTGGACCGCTGTGGCACTTCACCTGCACAGTCCAACATCTCTGTGCATCATCAGTTCAATACACTGATCATCACGTACCTGAAACCACCTATTCTTTGCGAGATGGAGGCCCAGGTGCTGCTTCTGCTGAAGGACGTGGAGACTGAGACGGACATGGATGACCTGTTAAAGGGATTGATGGCCAAATAAAAGCTCTAGCATGTAGTAAATTAAAAATTAATACTATTTTAATCACAAAATTGAATCTATTTCTGAAAACTCTCGGCCATGCCGGCGTAACTGGCCAACGATGGAGCCGAGGAGCTGCTAAACATGCTGTAATCGAACGAGGGCAGCTCTAGGGGTGCCAATAAGGGCATATCCAGATCCTCGGATCGCTCAAGACTGCTCCGACACTGATCTTCAAGTCCGGATCCCTGGGGGTCACTCCTGGACAACATGTCTGTGTGGGGCTCACAATCTCCGGTTGAAGATTTTGTTGTTACCGTTGAAGTGAACTTGGCATCGAATTCCTGCACTGTCCTGTCAATAGCCTTTGCCACCGATTGGGCTGAAGACGAGCCGCCGCCGCTGTTTTCCTGCCGCAGAGGCAGCATTGGGCTGGCCTCTTTTAGTGGCACAAAATCCTTGACTTTAGTCAGCCCGTGCTGCGTTTTCCGCATTTCAATCTGCCGCAGTTTCCGTTGAAAGTCGAGGGTCAGGGTATCAAGCACTTCCTTCGATTTGGGCAGGGCGACTCTCTTATGAGCGTCCTGCATGTAGATTAGCGACGTTTCCAAAGCCTTTATAGCGTCTTCATAGCGATGATTTCGCATAAAGCGCTCGGAGCGCCGTTCATGAAAATGCGCCTATAAAACGGGTAGTCAAGTTGATTGAGTTTTTGTATAGATTAACACTTCTTTTATCAATTACCAAATTCAGCGGTGCACAATCCATGTTTTCTCTTTTGTTTATGTTTTTTTTCCAGTGTGACCGCGGATTTATCGATAAGGTATACGGTCTCACACTCAGAAATATACCTAAATATACCGTCTCATTTAAAAAATATATCGTAAATATACTAACGAATTTAAGTTCTATTTTACATATTCCTCGTTTTTGATATTCCGTCGAATATTACTAGCTATATAGAACATTTAGCCATGCCCACATAATTTTATACGATTGATGAATCAATTTCCTACTTGATTGGCCTATTCGAAATTTCATTTAATAATCTTAAGTCTTAATAATATACTAATCACTAACATCACTATCGTCACTAACGATGTCGCTAGGATTTTTTAACAGCATTTCAGTGTTCGGTTCAAAATTCTCGCAACCGTTGTTCTTCCTTAGACCTTGTCTCACATATAAAAGATTTGAAACATTTATATTCTTAAATCTATTTCTTGTATTTGTTTTTATTAAGTTCACTTCGGAGAAAATTCTTTCACATTCGAAATGATGCATTCGAAACTGGCAATATAAGCAGAACTTTTTAATAAACTAAAAAGAACCTCATCATTTTTTAACAGGACAAATTCATTATCGATTCCCTGCGGATCATTAATAAGTTGAGGAAATCTTTTATACAGGTCATGCAAGTCTGATAATTGGCCATTGACTATGTCTTCAGGGTTTAGGAATGAGAGAAGTTTAAAAACCTTCTCGTTAAAAGGCAACCTTTAATTGTATACTCAACTCGATCAAAAATGACTGTGCTCTTTGGGAAAATGCATATTTTTCAGCTCTTTCTAATTTTGACACTCCGAGGCTTACATTAATGCCCAAATTCATTTTTTGGAATTCTACGAAATGAACATTGCTGCTTGGATCTAGTAAATTGAAGTCAGTATTCCTTTTATATAAGTCTTTCAAATAACAGCTTAATATTACTTTTAAGTTTCAGACATATTTTTATATATTTTGGGTGTTTCAGCTTTGCTAGACTGAAAAATGATATTAAATCTATTTATTATAGGCAAAATATAGTCTAGAAAGTAGAAATATAATTTGACTGAAACGCTTTTTAAATTTGAGAGAGTGTATTCTGCAGAACCATTTTTTTCTTGAGCCGCCTATTTATGTGACTTGTTCTATATATTTTATAAGTAATTATACGTGAACACCGGAATTGGTATCGGAGCCGATGACTGCCGCATGCTCTCTCTCTCTCTCATGCTGATCTCTCCGCGAACTATCTCCATTTTGCTTGCCCTTGTCAAGACGAATCACAGCCACTAGTTATGTTATAATACTACCTAACTCCACATAATGACCCATATTATTAGAATTCTAAAATATTTTATCCGTTTCCATTTTACCAATACATCCATCTCACTCTCTTCTCACAACAACAGCAACCGTTATATGCTGCATGGTCAGGAGTGTGAGAAAGAAAGAGAAGGGAAGGGGTGAGTAGCCACTCTAAATGGGGTCCAGGTAAATATGATAATTTTCTATAGCTGATCAAGAGTACATAATGTATGGGGTAGGTACTTCTAGGTGTCATACACATCCACATCCACCACAAAACTAATATATCCCTAAACTCTACGAGTATCGTATATAAGAATTTAATTTATTTCACTCAAAGTGGTTTTCCGGCTGCCTGTTTACCTTCGGTAAGTGCAACTGAAGCATGTACAAAAACGGGCACGTTCGTTCCCTGGAAATAAAAAGTTACGTAAATTTATAGACACAAATTAAAAATGCGCAAGAATATATTCTCACCTGCATCTTGGCTGATCGAACAAAAGCCTTATTGGAGGTTACAGTAAAAATTTGCCGGGCCATGCCAAAGCTAAAAATCTTCAGACTTCTCTCATTCACATTGGCAGTAAATCGTATGGTGGAGAACTCTTCGGGTATTTTTTCTACATCGGGATAGACTGTAATTCTTTTTAAGAAATCGGCGGCCCGTTCTCGTTCGCCGGGTCCGCCTACGATCGTCAAGATATTCTGAAAGGCATCGTAGGCTAGTTGGCAGCAGACCAGCCGTTTTCCCTGAAGAATCTTCTCAAGCTGTGGCTTCAGGGGCGATGCTCGTTCCCGTTCGGCCTGGTCGGTGAGCAATGGTTCCTTGAACACCCAATGGGAGTGGCCATTGGTGAGGGCGCTGACATATGCTAGCATGGTGGTGACATCCACATTCAGCTCATTGGACGCGGTTGCATATTGGTCCTCATCACTGTCGGGTGCCTCCAAGGATGCTGTCTGCACGCCCATTTCAAGCAGCTCTTCATGGAGCGAGTCTTCAATTTTGTTCGAAAAGTAAAAAACAATCTGAAATGGAATTTTTTGTATTCCACCATTTGATGATTATGCTATTCTTTACCTTGGGACGTTGGAACATGCAGAAATGTAGCGAACTCGCTTCCAGATAATCCTCCGCCTGATCTATAACACTTCGTGCACCAATGCTGACACACCCCTTGGCTGCATCTTCCACGGATTTGGAATTTCTCGCTATTACTTTGACCCATTTCAGACCATTATTGGCCACAATGTCAACGCGCAAGGGACTGTCTCGAGATTCCAGACGAAATACAGCGTTTATATCTACGACTCCTTGTTGCGTTTGCAGGGTTTTAATGAGAAATTCATAGTAAACAAAGTTGCTGCTGGTTATATGGTGATCCCTCACTGATTGCGTGCTAATCACCTAAACGGAAACGTGTAATTTAGTGGATTGTTCGACGAGGATAGTCGTCATTTCAAACCTTGTTCAAGAATTTAAGCTCCTGCTGTATTTTTCGCTGCACTTTCGAAACTCCGGGCAAGTCCTCGAAGTCAACTAAGGCCTGCTTCAGTTTTTCACCCAATACGACTTTCTTCTGTGCTTCCTCATACAGCTTTTCTTGTTCGTCCATTTCGACTGCAAGGTGGTTGAATGAAAATTTTAATAATAGTACGAAATAATTGTTGTTAACTGCCAGCTGTTGACAGAGGTGTCAGCGATACATCGATGAGTGTCCTATCGATAAGCTCTAACGATATTTGTCTATGTCGTTTCGGGCACTACATACACAATCGAATACTTGTTCTCTATCTTTTTCGTGGGTTTCCCTCTTTTCTCTCTTTCGCTCTAACGTTAGATACTCTTGATTTCTATGGGAACCGTAGGAACGGAATGGAGGAACATCTGCACAATGAACATTTGAAATAATCTTGAACAGATGACTCAAATATTAGATATTCTTGTACTCGAAATGCCTTAAAAACAGCAGAAAAAGTCATTGCGATATTCGTTACGAAGCCTTTTTTGGAGTAGTTTAAAGTACATGTGTACATACATGGAGTACATAGCAGCCCATCACAGAGGTATTGCAACCAGAGTTAGACAAAACAAAACAACAAACTGAACATTTAAACATATAAATAGGGTATTTTAAATCAATGGACTTCATTCGTACTGTAGACGGGTAGCGCCACCTGTCGCCACATTAAGCTATCGGTGATGCACAGTGGGCCAAACGGAATTTTTCCATTCGACTGTTTCTGCTATATCTATGGGCATGTATTGCAAACTGTAAGATCATGTCTGTCTATGTGTATACATCAATGTATATATTTTAATGCTCCATAATGTCAATACAAAATCGTCCTTTTTTCTTCAAGGTATATTAAGCAAAAGGGCGGACTTTACCTTGCATGCGTTGCATTTTCTGGCCGTTCTGCCTGTTGTCCATACCCTCTTTCTCCATCCATTATGTAGCAAACGTGTTGTAACCGTGTAGAGTTTTTTCTACATATAGAAAAAAAAAAACGCACCATCTCTATTGGGCGTAGCTACTTGTTGTTTTGGAATTTCTGCAAATAAAAAAGCTGTTAAACATATTAAAAAGAAGAAACAATGCACGCATACCCGACTCTCATTGCACTGCTGCTAGTAGCAGTATTGATTCACGAAGGTCTGTACACTTCTGAATAACATGAGCATAAGCCAAGCCCAGCTCAGAGTTGATCTAATAATGTTGTTTGTTGACAGGTGATGCCATTTGGTGCTACCGCTGCACCTCTGCCACGCCCGGCTGCGCCGAAAAGTTCAACTGGCGTGGAATTGGCTTCCTTGGCGAGCAGTGCCCGGAGCCCAACGATATCTGCGTTAAAGTGACGGAACGCCGCGGCTGTAAGTGGGTCTAAGGCTCGACAGGAGCTTCATATTTATGTGGCTTTTCTTCGATTTCAGCAAAGGAAACGATAACACGTGACTGCCTAAGTGCCCTCAGCTTCCGAACAGACATTCCCGCCGACAAATACGAAGGCTGCCGTACAGCGGCAAAGGATGTGCGATTGGCCCACTACGTCAACCACACAATCAAGGAGCATGACGTCAAGCGGGACTACTTCCCAGATACAACGTTCTGCTTCTGCTTCCTCGACCATCGCTGCAACGGCGCCAGTGGTCTGCAGAAGTCCGCTGCCCTGGGCCTACTAGCCATGGCCATAACGCTACTGCTCGGCCGCTAGTGCCTCGACTGTGCTACGTAGTTGGTACCAAAGTGCCTTACTCCAATCAACGATAGTTCAAGTAGAGCTCGAATCTCGTCTAGCCACATTCCGTCCCCATTTTTTGTACAACTTTTGTATTACTCACATTTTTGTGGTCTTGTGTTTACTCAACTAATTAAATACATTTTACAATATTATAAACAGGCGTGAAATCGTTGTATCAGGAAGAAGCTGCAGCCGCACCAGAGACGTCCGGATTCTTTGGTCCTCTGTAGTCGTAGGCTTCCACTTCGGGATGTTCTTTTATGTATTCGGCGTAGGCATCGGCCAGGCGCAAGCACTGGGGTACGGACAGCTCAAAGGAACGCAGCGTATCCCGGACATCAGCTCGCTGGAAGAGCGTTTGTGTGGTCTCTTCGCGGCTATCAGGCGGAAGCAAAGTTCCGTAGCCACGGCGACAGTACTTCTGGCGCATGCTAAAGATGTGACGCACGACGCGTTCCACAAGGGAAAAGGGCAGCTGGGTCTTGGGCTGCTTCAGTGGTATGAGCTTGACCACGCCAACGTCCACTTGTGGCTTGGGAACGAACGCCTTACCCGGTATTATGAACTTCATCACCGGCTCCGTCCAGATTTGGGACATTACAGAGAGCCGACAACGCTGCTCGCTCCCCACTGGGGCGCAGATCCGTTCGGCCACCTCCTTCTGAAAGGTGAGCGTCATGCAGGTGTCGTTGCGGCGAAACGCACCTCGGCGCGCCGCCAAGTCCGCGTACCAATTGATAAGAAGACGCGTGGAGATCGAAAACGGCAGGTTACCGATCAGATGGATGCGCTGCGTCATGTCCGGAATATGCTGTTCGATGTTGAAGCGTAGAATGTCGTCGTAGTAGATGTCCACCTGCATGTCGAGCGGGCTGGCACATTCGCGCAGCAGCTGCAGAGTCTCGCCAAATCGCCGATCCTTCTCAACCAGAATCAGCCGTTGGGGCTGTCGACGTAGTATAGAGCGAGTGATGCCGCCAGGCCCGGGTCCGACCTCCAGCACAATGTCGCGGGGATCAATTCGTCCCGCGGACTTCACGATCTTGTCTGTAAGTCGCTCGTCCATGAGAAAGTTCTGACTGAGCTGCTTCATGGCCTGCAGCTTGTAAAGCTTCACCAGCTCGCGGATAGTGGGCAGCGGGGGCAGCCGCATGCCACTGTTCAACACGCGTGCCGTGACCTGTGACATCTTCAAGAGAACAAAAATTAGTTGGAGACTGATCGCACTGTGCCTGGCGTGATGTATGCTACTTACATTGTTGTGCAACGATTTTAAGGGTTTATCTGTGTGTGTGTGTGTAAAATGAAACAAAACGCTTAAGACTAAATAATTAACAAAAACTGGAGGCGACTTTTAGTTGGTGTTGACCTTCTTGGGCTCCTCAAAGTCGTCCAGGAATTTCTCCTGCTGCACCGAGAATATGGAGTAGCCGTAGATGCCCAATACGGAAAGTCCCAAGGCGCCGGCAGTCAATAAATTGTTGCGGCGCACACGCTTCAGCTTCTGCACGCGGTCCAGGTTCTGCTCCTCGATCAGTTTCATGAACTGCAGCTGCGCCCTATCCAATTTCGGTGCGTTTTCTCCGTACTTGATCTTAGGTTCTTGCTCCGACGCCGACATTATTTACGTTTCAAAGTGAATAAAAACTTTTTTGCACTTTTGCCTGCTAAAAAACTTATGAAATCTGTTAATCAGTTATCGATCAAATATCGTCCGGACGCTCATAAATATACGGAAATGTACTGTCTTATTTTCAAAATATACCGTGAATATACCGATAAAAAAAAACAAACTTAGCCCACCAAGCCCCCTTTAGTAAGAAACTTGAGCTAAGCCGCAAACAAAAAAATTTAAGTGTGTTAGATCTTCTTGTAGATCTTATTAAATCCTTCATCTTTCATTACAAAAAAACTCGATATCTTTCACCTGAAGTTCGCTAAAATTCTTCAAGTTTCATAATATTCGTGTGTGTTTAATTCTCTCCTAGTCGACAATGGGTTAATGGGGCTAATCGTACTGAGTTCACGATCCGAAATCATATTCTTCGATTTAATCTTTAAACGATCTAAAGTTAATAATCTTATGTACAGTTTGAGATTTATGTTGCATTTAAAATGGATGAAGGAGAACAGTCCAAGCTGAAAACCAGGTAACAATGATACCCTTGCTTTCCAGCAACGCACTCTGACGATTTTCTTCACCGCGCAGCCGTTACAACTACATCGAGAGCTAGCTGCTATTAAGTTTTCCTCCTATTTCGTGCAACGAGCTGCTTGCCAGTTCACTTTTGTTGGTGGCTCGAGTGCAACGCGAAACGTGCTGAGTTGTTCGAAACAATTTGTGGGGCAGGCAGCAGACGCGTTCCAGGCCTTGTCATATCTGTTGTGTAGAGTGCTATTATTTTACAAATAGCAAGCCAGTGGGGGCTGGGCTCCATCACTGCTGCAGAGGCCTAGGCAATCTCAGATTGAGAGCAAACCAAACCAAAGCAATTAAGCGCTATTACCAGCAGTCGGAGGTAATTGCGCCTCAAAGTGCGTACTTCTTCTTTTTACCCCAACTAAAAGTATGTGTTCCATATTGTGATGTGCGCTTGAACTCGTGTATAGAAAAGGCTGCTAGGATGTTGGCAAGCCGTGAAGATAGATTTTCAAATGCGGAAATGAAAGTAAAATGTGGTTGCGTGTTTTGAAACTACTCTGAAAATCTCATACCATACCCAATAACAACAAAGCAAAGGCAAAACAAACGCGTAATTGCAGAAATCAGCTGTGTACCCACGGACAGAGACAGAGATAGCAACAGCAAAACACTCCACTTCAGCGCCCAACAGCCCCACTCTCGCCCCCCTCCTCACCTACAATGACAAGACCCAACAGCTGGTCGCGCTCTCTCGCCTGCTCTCTGGTTCTCTTTGCCTTTATTTGGTTTGCTTTTTTCCCGTTTGTTTTGTTTTGATTTTTTTTTATGTTACACGCTAGGTGTGCGAGGCTGGAAGGGGTAACTTTTTTGATACCTTTGATAACTTTATATACCCTTAATGGGGTAACTTTTGTCTAGAAGTTGGAAAATTAATATAACATTATTTTTCAATATTCCCGGGTACCAATTTTCCTATATATAAAATCTTGTGGCGGTGATTTATTTTTGTAATCTTTAAATTGTGAAATTCCACTTTGCAGCAAACTAAAACGCGTGTTTCGTTAACCGCCGTCCGCTTAAACGTTAGGAATACAAAAAAAATCTACACACAGGCGCGAAAGGCAATAAAGCAGCTACATATAGCTTTTCCAGTCCAATAATTAGTGCAGCTATCAAATCAACAAAGAAACCGATTCCCAGCGAACCCGCAGAGATGGCGTTCATTTCGAAAGACTTCCGATCACCCGGAGAGGCCTGGGTGAAGACCGACGTAGGCTGGGAGCGCCTAAAGGTGCTTGAGTGCGGAGGCAAACGTAAGCGGTAAGTCCATCCAGATTTTAACAATGGATTTGGGGGGGACTGATGACATTCCACTTATGAAACAGACGCGACACAATCGACTATTTGCATTTGTAAAAGTTTCATTATTATAGCTTGATAATGGGGCAATACCTTATCTTGTATCATTTCACTGTAAATAAATAAGTGTGAGAATTAATGACTTTTATGGGAATGCAGAAATCCGTAAAGTACAAGGCCACAGAAGCACAAATACAGTCCTTGACTAACTATCACTTTGGGTGGGCTGTGAAACAGTGCATACACGTAAACGAGGACTTTTAAATGGGGTCCTAGCAATGCCCTAATTCTAGAACATCGATGTACATATCTTATCGGTAAAAACTGCCAATGCCTTCCTTCGGATAAAGTACTACCTTGAACCAATTGTGGCTCAAGGTCTAAACAATACAGCCGTCAGCGTAATTCCGTATGTACATACGTACATATGTAGGTCTAGTAATGTTTTTGAAGTCTTTCCGCATTCCCTTCCAACCTAATTTCTCTGTATGCTAGCTATGATTTTCATATATCCATCGCATTGTACTGTACCGCGCAAATTGTGCAAGCTTGCGTCGTGTAGGGGCCTAAAAGAAAGATTACCAGTCGAATGTATCGAATTTGTAGTATTGTTCGAGCTATACAATACCGAAATATTTAAATCATTTGGTTTAATAGACCCGTGTGCATTGATTGGGTCCACTGCCCAGTCGCGCCATTGGAAGCAGTTGCCCAAAGCAAAGCCACGGATAATTATTGCGGCCCAAAACAACGCAAACCACTTCCCCCTTAGCTGCTGTAGCCATCAAAAAGTTGTGTTTTCTTTTGGTAAATGCCCATGAAAATTGAGAAACTTCGAGCTATGTCTCTCTATCGTTTATACCTATGATACGAGTAGTGGATCTACTATCTACTCTTTAGCCCCTTCAGTGCATACTCGCAGCCAGATGACTGTGAAAGCCACCAAAGTCCGGCTACTAGATGCAGCTGATATCTCCAGCGAGGCCGGGAAGGTGCTTTGGAAGGTACGTATAGTATCTTTGGCACCGTTGATCGATTGCTCATTTGATTGATTGCCATTGATTGCCATTGTTTGCTCCGTAGGCAATGGGAAATTGCAAGTGGGGCAAAAAGTTTTGCCAACATTACAATATAATTCAGTAGATGTGGAGAGTGGAAAGAGCTGGGTAGAAGTACATCCTGCTGGGTTGTTCAATATTTTCTCCTAATGCGTAATCTTTTTTCTTATTTTAAAAACCCATTACTTATTCGCTCAACGATGAATCGATTAGAGGGGTGGTAAACGTATAAGTATAAGTAGAAGGGGAGGCGGAAAGAGCGAGGCGGAACCTTGAGCTTTCGGGTGCACACCCTCTCTCGCTTTAGCCTAAACTTGACCGACTTTCACGCCTACCTACCGTTCGGGGATTGAAGTTTCCAAGGCTGGATGAAGTCCTGCGTCGTTGTAAGTATACATACATACATATATGTACACATGTACATATGCATATGATATGTAGTACCTACATATACTCGCATGCAGCTGCAATGTAAGTCTGCATCCATGTTTTTCACCTTTGTTCTGTTTCTAATTTTGGAAGTCATTCGAGTTTCTTGAAAATATGTATACAGTATATAGCCGAGAAGATCTTGAGTCGCGGTGCTTCCGCATTTTTCCCCGCTTTTCCCCACTTTTCCCCATTTACGAGCACACACAGTCGTGAGTGCCAAAAATAGTTTCACCCATCTCCGCCTCCCTTTGGGTTCGATGCGTTCTTTATGACTTGTCAAAAATCCACTCCAATCTCTGACATTTTCCGCATGTGCTTGTGTTCCAAGGGGGGTTTCTGGTTCTGGTTCTGCTTGTGCTTCTGCTTGGGGTTCTGTCTTATTTTCTCACGTCCGTCCGGACGCTTATCTCAACGGACAGTGGGACACAGAGGCAACATTCGGGAGAGAGGTCAAATCCAATTTGGGTTTCATAACGCTCTAATCAGCGCGTGCTCTTTCTACGTGGATGCTTGGGTACGAGGCTGGTGCGCAACAGGCCGCTGGCCTCGGATTTGGAACGCATTGCGTCCGTGCTGGACCCCGTTTGCTCATCGATATTGGACTGCCTGGTGGCATGTGGGAAGTGGAGCATGGCTCTCACGTAAGACGGAAGGCGAGTGCGTTTTCTCCAAGCCTTAGACCATTCCCATTCATTATATTGCTTAGGGAAAGATATCTCAACTTTCGTGAGCGTTTCATAACCGTGTTAAGCACTCGTCTCGGGCATTACTCAACGCCTTTCTTTCTTTCTTTCTGGCCAATTAAAAATGCAATGCTCAATGCCCGGCACTGAGCTGAACCCATTAGATAATGCCTGAAAATATAATAATTAGAAATTCCAAATTGCCTCTAAAAGCAAATCCAAAGTGCATTCGCGGACGTGCCGTCGATTCGGACCCACTTTCACTCCACTCTTCGTTGAACATCGGATCGGATCGGAGCGCCTTTCGATCGATTTTCTTTAGTTTTTTTTTGTTTTCTGTTAGTTTTTTCCTACTTTTTCAAGACTCGTGAGGGTGACCAGATCGACTTTAGGCATCACTGGCTATTGGTCTTAAGTATATATACACCTCAGAGTATATATGTATGGCTATACGTAGATGCATAGATGATCGATGGACTTGAACTTGGGACAAGGAAGTAGACTGTATGCCCATTCTTATATACCATTATGGGTATACCAAAATACTTTGGGGCCCAAACTTTAGACAGGGGAAACCACATCTACGTCTCCATTGAGAGTTCCACAGAATGATCTAAGTTTGCGAGCAAAAGTTTCCGTTCTATTCCCAATGCCTCGCTATGCATCTCTCTGTGTTCCGTGATCTGTGATCTCTCCGAATTCTTCTAAATTTAGACAAAAGTTGAGGCGCTCTGCGGGTTCCTCCTTCTCTGGCTGTTGTTCGGCTCCATTCCCAATTATTTATGTCGAAAAAGGTCACAAACTTAAAAATAGAGACAAAAGCGATTTGCCTGTCAGGGCCCTGCTTCTGCTGCTTCTGCAGCTGCTGCTGCTGCGCTTTTGCTGCACTTATTTTCATTTGTTTAATTCGCTTGGAGAAAGGTAAACGAACGCTTGATTGTGACGTCGTTGAGTGATTTATACGAATCACGTGGTCGACGGCCCCGGCGTGGCACGGTCTGTTGCCTTGGGACTGTGGTGTGTGCCCCGTGGGCTGGTCCGGAGGCAGAAACAGCGGCAGCGGCAGGGGCAGATGTCGAGGTAGAGTTGGAGTCACTCGCTGGCTGCACAGCCCAGCAATTTCATTGTCTCGGTAGCATACGAATCCACAGATAATTGCGCGTTTATCTAAACACAGCGACTGCGAGTGCTACTGCCAGTCCCAAACGAAACAAAAAATAATCAAAAATCGCACACGGCTCCCGTTTCTTTGTTTACGAATCACCTTCCATGTGAGTATTTTTGGTGTATCTCCTGGAATCAAATCCCGAATTGGTTCTCATTTCAAATCAAATAGAATATTATCTTCGAAGAGACAAGGAGACAACCCTTTAAAAAGAATCACAGACATCTCGCTCCCGAATCGTAATGATGCGATATTGAAAATCGAAAAAACTTTAACACATGAGCAAGTCCAAAACATACATTTGTATGTGTGTGTGTACATATGTATGTACATTTCTGGGCCTTATTCATACTCACTCGTATGTGAGTGATGTGGCCAATAAAAGCGTTGACCTACTTCCTACCCCAGGTCCAGGCCAGCCAGCACTCGACTCCCTCGGCGTGGGCCAAAAGCTTTCGCCAGTTTCGTTCTACTTTCGTCTTTTCTTTGACTGTTGTCCTACCCCCTTTTGCACTTTCCCACTTCCCATTTTTCCCACACTTTGCGCATCTTCGCGTGGCTATGCCTCGCTTTGTGCCCAGGGGACTTGGAGTGGATTACAACTGATTACCAACTGACTACTAATTCCAGCTGCTGTCCACAGCTGATGCAGAATTTAATTTACTCTCAACAAGGACATATGTACATATAGCTAGACCTGAGCTGTGGATCGATGTGCCTTGACCATTTATGGTGCCACTGTTCGACGAGGACGTGTCGTGGCCTGTCATGTCCTGTCCTTGGGAGCCACAAAATTGTTTTTGATTTCCCTCCAAACTGGGTCAGAGTTCGTGATGGTGTGAGTGCGCCTGCCTCTGACCGTCTGTTCAACGGTCCTCCCACAGCTGCACTTTGTCTAATTGAAGCTCTGAAGGCGCCCCTCTCCCCTTCCCCCTCCCCCTCCCCCGTCCCCCGATAATTGCCTGGCAATTACATTCGTTCTTATCACATCACATGTTTTTTGGCACAACTTTCAAATGTCACCAAATGGTTGAATTTCAAGGCCGTTCAGTACTGAACCCATTCGAAATGGTTTTTTTGGGGTGAATCGATTTCGGAACGGCTGCGGACACCCACAATAAAGTTCATTCAATGCTATATCCACAGAATGGAACCTTAGGGCTCCTACTCAACCCAAAACAAAGTTATATTTAGTTACAGAAATCTTAAGAGATTCATATTCAACGTTAGATTGTTAGAGAATGGTGTGGCCGCAGGAATCTCTTTCATTTTCTCCTATATGTAATATAATTATCTTCCAAATCGAATGGTCATACAGTCCACGCAAATTACGCGACCCAGCACTAAAGTTCGTTAAAAACTTGACACACGGCTGGGCTTCCTCTTGCCGAATCACTGTGCACATTTAAAAACCGGGCCGGCTAAGTGATTCGACACATCGAATCGAACACAGATGCTGGGAAACATCGCCTGTTTCCGCCTCTTGAAAAGCGGTTCACAAGCGCCTAACACCTGTAAACCGCCAAAAAAACAACACCAAATCCAAGTCTGCGACGGCAACTGGCCAAACGGGTTATCATCGGACAGAGACATGGGGACAGGGACATGGGCATGGAGATGGAGATAGAGACACTTCCGAAATGTTGCATTGACAATGAACAATGGATTATCTTGTTGCAGGCACAACTCGGAGGGGAGCAGCTACCAGGTGGTGGCCAGCGACAGCCAGGAGGTGGAGGAGGAGGGGTCCAGCATGCCACCCCACTACCACATCACGATCCGTTGCACCCGGGAGATCGCCGGCTTCAACGGACTGAGCGAGGCGGTGAAGCGCCTAGACTTCCAGCGATCGGTGCGCGATCGGAAACGTTTCCACTACATCTGCGCGTTCCTGCTGCTGGTCTCCAACAAGGGCATCGCCAGTCTGCCGGGCAGTGCGCAGCGGCAGCTGCTCCAGATGGTCGAGGAGGTGGCCTCGCATGGTGAGCACTAAACGGACTATCCGTGAGATCCTTCTCAATCGTCTCTCTTTTCTTCCGCAGTCAACGATAGTCAGCAGCATCCGAACGTGCTGCGTGGGCTAGCGCTGCAGCTTGAGCAGATCGTCAACCAGGAGAACCAGAAGTGCTGGGGCAAGCCGCTAGGCAGCACCTACCTCTGGAAGGAGCATATGGCCACGATCAAGCGCATCCAGCGCGTGGCCAGCCAGATCGAGATTCGAGAGGTGACGCAATGGTCTTCCCATTCAAACTCTGTTTGTTAAACTTGTAATCTTTGCAGCCCGATCCAAAGGCCAAGCCGAAGCTGCACGAGCTGCCGGAGGAGTGCGTGCGGGAGATCATTCTGTGCATTGCCGATCATCGCGACCTGGAGTCGGCCGCCAAGGCCTGGGACACCATGGCCAAGCTGGTGTCGGAGCAGCGCATCTGGCGCGAGCTGACACGATTCCACTTCAACCAGCGCCAGATCCACACCATCCTGGACCTGGACAAGTTCAAGCAGATGGGCGAGATCAAAGACTGGAAGCAGATCTACCACCAGCTGCGACGTACCTACGGCGTCAACGACGACTACCAGTTCGCCGAGGTGCTGGCCCTCTGCCGCTCCTGCTGCTGTCTGTTTTGGCCCTCCGACGGACATCCCTGCATTGTCGACCAGAGCCCCGACTACAAGCAGCGCCTGGAGGAGGCTGGCGGTCAGCAGGCGCTGTCCCAGCCCGTGCCTCCGGCCCAGTTCTTAAGTTATTTCTCATTGTAAGCGACATTGCAAGGGGGTGCGGTGCAGTATCGGGTGCGGTGGAACACTGACCAAGGGAGAGAGAGTAAGAGATAGCTTGAGATATTTTTTTTATGGAGGGGCCGACCGTACCGTGGGCGTTGTTGGCTGCGTATGAAAGTTTTTATGTGCGTGTTAAAGTTTTAACCCTGGAAAGAGAAGGATCAGTAGGAGGAGAAGGAGGTGGAGGAGGAGGAGGCGGAAGAAAGCAAAGTGATACAGAAATCCCCTAATCTATAACTACTTGTGGTAAACGAGTATCCCCAGCTTCGTTTCGAGTGTCGGCTTGTTCAGTTCTTACAAAAAAAGAGAGACACACACGCGAATCTCGCCAACAGTCATTTTTGTGGAGAGAGTCCCCGTGTGATCTGATCAGTGTGCAAGGATCTTGTGATCTAGGATCAATATGAAATAAAATACTGAGGTCGAGAAGTGGTATATAGACCTTTTTACGACACGCCAAATGAACTGCCACAAACGCGAGAGCATAAGCGATTATATTTTCAAGAAGGAATGAAGCAAGAATCGAGTACTATATTGAGAGACTATTTTTTTTAAATACCAGTACGCAACCGCGCATACTAATACGAGTTTAATTCGCCAATCTGTTCATTTTAAGCCAGCGAAATACACATTTTCGTATGAATTTTGATCGATCTATTGTAGGGTTTAAGTGTAGTTTCTTTTAACAGCTGCTTTTGGTGCTAAATCTTGTTATAAGTTCCAATCAACCAATATAATCCAATCAAATCAAATCAAATCAGCCTGGTTTCCCAATCCGATTCGTTCCGACTTGAAGTAGAGAAGAGAAAAACCATGTGATGTTGCAAGGAAGCAAAGCTAGAAACGAATACACCTACCTAAACGATAAAAGAAATCTCCAAGCGATATGCCGTCAGCAATGCTATACGTACATACATATATTATACATAAATATTAGAGATCCTCGCCAGTTAAATGTAAGTTTATGGAAAGTCAGATCAGCGCGTAGAAAACCCCCCCCTTAAACCCCAAGAGAAAGCAGAAGAAAATTGTTTCCCAGTCAACACAACACACCACTCAAATTCTTGAAAGAACAGAAATGAGGATTATGTTGAATGTGTATAGGATAGCATAGCACCCCTACCCTACCCCCTTCCCCTTCCCCCTGTACAATATATGTGTGTGTTGTTCGGTCCCCATTACCTATTATCTATTACTATTACTATTACTACTGTAAGTACGAAAGTTTTAGCATTCTAATGTTTTTTTGCAACCATTTCTATGGGAAACAAATCTCTTATTTTACGTTTAAAATAAAGTCTTAAAATATCTGTGGATCAAGAGAATTTTTTGAATTGGAAAATGTCTAATCAAAGAAAAACAACTGCCTGCCTGATAACAGGATGGATAATGGCTCCTAAAACTGTTCGAAATTGGGGAAAATTACTAAAAGTTCGTCGTTATATTAATCGCAAATGTTGCACAAAAGGAACAGCTGAGTTGAAAGCAACTGAGCATTCGTTCGTCTGAGCTGTGCAGAAAGGCAGTTGCCCCAAGGACCATTGGGTCTATCGACCAAACAATCCGTTGCCATGAATCCCATCAGTTCTTATTTTATATCGAACCGACCAGGCAAAGTATCTGTCGTGGCTGCAAAATCGAAAAGTTTTGGTTAAAAAATGGACTTTATTTTCAAAAAAGAACGCCGCTCCTTTGGGGCACGCGTACAGTTCGAGGACAAGGATGAGGTGGTGTTCAGCGAGAACTCGAATCCCGAGCTGGTGAAGAGCTTCATACTGAAGAACCCGGTCGACCGGGTTACACAATATGCGGGCCAGACGTCGCTGAGCGTGGCCAATACGGAGAGGGCCACGTATAAGAGCACTGGGATAACACACAATGAGGGCGGTTGGCCGAAGGACATCAACATGCACGATCCGGAGCAGACGGTGCGCTACAAGCGCAAGATCGAGAAGGACGAGAACTACATCACGCAGGTGATGAATCTGACCAAGCCCATGGAGCACTATATACACCAGAACAACGCCGTGAACATATACGAGAACTACTTTGAGAACTTGGACCCGGCCCCGCTGCCGGAGCCGTGCAAGTCTCGCACGGTTAATGTTTACCGCGATCCGAACCCGATCAAGGTGCCGGTGAAGCACTTGTCCTGGTCTCCTGATGGCGGCATTAAGATGGCTGTCAGCCACTGCGACATGAAGTTTCAGGGCGACAAGACCGGGCAGAAGTGCAACTCTTACATTTGGGAGGTGGAGAATCCCAATGAGCCATTCCTGACGTTGGAGCCGAAGGTGCCCTGCGTGTGTCTCGAGTACAACCAGAAGGATCCCACCAGCCTGGTGAGTGGCATGTACAATGGACAGGTGGCGGCCTGGGACACACGCCACGGCAAGCATCCGGTCATGATCAGCGAACGTGAGGTGTGCCACCGAGATCCGGTCAACTCGGTGCTGTGGAACAACTCGAAGAGCGGAACCGAGTTCTTCTCCGGTGGCTCCGACGGCCAGGTGTTGTGGTGGGACACGCGGAAGCTCAGCGAGCCACTCGACAGGCTGCTGATGGATCCAGTCAAGAGCGACGAACAGGACCTGTCGCGCTCCTACGGAATTTCGGTTTTAGAGTACGAGACCACGATACCGACCAGATTCATGGCGGGAACCGAAATGGGCATGTTGTTCTCGTGCAATCGCAAGGGCAAAACGCCTACAGAGAAGATCCAAATACGGGTAAGTTCGAGAAGAGTCGTCGCACCCTTAGTTTTCCCTCTATATAGTCTCCGCACTACAGATGATGTGCCACTTGGGTCCCGTGTATGCCATCACCCGGAATCCGGCATTTGTGAAGAACTTCCTCACGGTAGGCGACTGGTGTGCGCGCATCTGGTCGGAGGACTGCCGCGAGAGTTCGATTATCTGGACCAAAAGCAGCAGCTCTATGCTCACCGATGGAGCCTGGAGCTATACAAAGTGAGTTTCGACCCAAGCAGACTAACCTGCCCATCCTTATTCTTCATGCCATTCCAGGGTGTCGCAGTTCTTTATTACGCGCATGGACGGCGTGCTGGACACGTGGGACCTGCTCCAGCAGCAAAACGAGCCGATTCTGACTGTGAAGGTGTGCGATGAGCCGCTTTACTGCGTGCGGACCAACGAGAATGGAAAGTTCGTGAGCTGTGGCAGCAAGCTGGGCGCCACCTTCCTTATCGAGGTCTCCGACAACATGGTGATGTCGGCCAAGAACGACAAGCCCCTGTTGACAGCGGTAGGATCTAGCTAGCACCAATCTATCTACCAAATTGTAATTCTCTAACTGCTGTGCAGATGTTCGAGCGCGAGAACCGCCGCGAGAAAATCCTGGAGGCCAAGTCGCGGGAGAGCAAGCTGAAGGTGAAGGCCAACCACGGCCAGGATCAGGCAGACATAACTATGCTCAATGGAAAGGTCAACATGGCGCCTTTTGCCAGCGCCTGCGAGCAGGCGGCCAGTGAATACTTTGCCGCTGTGGAACAGGAACGCATGCGACGACTGCCCGGTGGCAAGCGTAGGTGAACAAAGCAGCTTCGCCCGCTCTTTGGTTGTGGAATTTTCACTAATCTATCTTTAATTTTCTTTACCTTTCAGAGGATGCGGAGGAGGCTGATGTGTCAGAAGCAGAGAGCTCGAAGCTATAGATCTAAAACACTTAAGATGTAATATATCCATTGTAACACATACATTTTTTTTAATTATTTAAATCTGAACGAAATAAGTGTTGTACAAGACAAGACCGGCTGAAGCAGTAGTTCTTTTGTTCAGGAGCTGAGTCAGTTCAAAGATCAAAAATGTAGGAAATAAATATACAAAGTGATAAATAACTAATTTCTCGTTGGGAGATTTGTTTCCACAACCTTATTAAGTGCTCTTAATTAATTTTCTTGACCCCAAAATCCTATTTTTTTCTAATACTTTACATCGATGCCAGCGATTTATCGCACAATTCCAAAACCATCGATACTATCGGAGTGTCATCGATGTTTGAACTGAGGGCATATGTACTTTCACACGCGGTTTTGTTGAACAATTTGTAAATAAACGTAACAACCTTCGTCAGTTGTAAGTAATTGTAAGTGCGGTTTTTAAAAAAAACTAAAAAAAAGTAGCACCCAATTCAAAAATAAACAGTTCAAAATTCAAGAGGAAAAATAAGAGAACGTGCCAAAATAACACTCGACAACACCATATCTAACAGCTGTGCGTCGGGACTATTTCATAATCCAATCCCCTTCTTATCGCGTTGTAACAACAAATTGGAGTGAAGGGCTAGGGCAGATTAGAATTTCATATGCTATTCCTCCCATTTTCACCGATGCAAACCATTTCAATTGATCCGATAGAGCGTAGTGGAGACACCAACCCTGCAACCTTGCCTTGTTGCACACTGTGTGGCCTACGTGACTCAGAAACAGTTATCAATGGCGCAACGTGCGAGTATACGAAAGTTCAGTGACCAATTTTCTGTGCAGCAGCAGCAGCAGCAGGCGCAACCCCCGAACCCAGACAGCACTTAACGTTCACGCGGCATAGAAGCTAGAAGTTGGCACTCGTTTGAAATCTCTCATTGCTTGATAGTCAGTCTGTTCCTGTTAAATAACAAGTGAATGTATGAATGAGAGAAATAAATAAATATAGACCGGGCGTACTCTCGCACGCGACCATATTATAAATATAATAGTACTGTTCAGTCGTCAGTGATTATCGTATACCTTTTGCTCGCTTTGGCTACAGGGTATTTACAACAAATAACAGCCAACCGTAAATGCAACGAACCTTGGCGCGGCTCTGATTTGAAAGTTGCTGCAAAAAGTGATTCTAAAGGTGGGTTGCGCCTGAGTCATTCGCTTTGTGTTGTCGCTTTGTGTGCTAATTATAAGATTTCGGGTTTTTGTTCCGGTTGCAGTCGGGCAATAGTGGTAGTAGGGGGGCCTGTCCTTCCATTCCATTCGCGTCCGCAGTCACGTACGCCTGTCGAATCACATTGTCTGTAGCTTAGTGTCTGTTCGTTTGCTGAATTTGATATACGCATTTCATTTCTATTTGCTTCCGAAATACGAGAAGCTGATCGCAGACCAGCTAAATTTTTATTTGTTTTAATTTTCTCGTCTCTGCAGCACTATGTTGGACCTGATCCAACCAGGCAGCGAGCTGCTGAGCTCCAGCACAAGCAATATCAACAACAACAACAACAACAATAGCAGCGATATAGTTGTGGTGCGGGCCAAACCGAAGAAGGTGTTCAAGCCAAAGGCTCGCATCAATCGCATTCCCCAGGAGCTGCTCGATGACCCCGTGCTACAGCAGGCCATCGGACGCCTGCCCGCCAACTATAACTTTGAGCTGCACAAGACCATTTGGCGTATACGCGAGATGAAGGCAAAGCGCGTGGCCCTGCAGCTGCCGGAGGGTCTGCTGATGTACGCAATGGTCATTAGCGATATCATCGAGCGCTTCACCAGCGCCGACACCGTCATAATGGGCGACGTCACCTATGGCGCCTGCTGCGTAGATGACTACACCGCCAAGGCACTGGGCGCGGAGCTTCTGGTGCACTATGGCCACAGCTGCCTGATACCCGTTGACCAGACCTGCGGCATCAAAGTTCTTTACATATTCGTGGACATCAAGATCGATCCACTGCACTTCCTCGACTCTGTCAAGCTGAACTTTAAGCCAGAAGTGGGTCAAATAGCCCTGGTCAGCACGATACAGTTTGTGACCACACTGCAGGCCGCCTCAACGGAGCTGAAGGCGGCCGGCTACGATGTGATAGTGCCCCAGGCCAAGCCCCTCAGTCCGGGCGAAATACTGGGATGCACCTCGCCCCAACTGCCGGAAACGACGCAAATGATTATCTATCTGGGAGACGGGCGCTTCCATCTCGAGTCCGCCATGATTGCCAACCCGCTGCTTAAGGTTTGTTCCTTCTTCCCCCTTCCCCCTACACTACCCATTCGGAGGCATACTAAGATTTTCTTTCGTTGTTTCGCGCAGGCCTACAAGTACGATCCGTATGAGAAAAAGTTCACCATTGAGCAGTATGACCACGTTGCCATGCAGGATCTCCGCCTCGGTGCCGTGCAGCGCGCTAAGAAGGCACGACGGATCGGAATCATTCTAGGAACTCTTGGCAGACAGGGCAGCTCAAGAGTACACCGGTTTTTGGAGAAACGACTGCAGGCCAAGGGAATAGAGACCACTACCATCTTGCTGTCGGAGATCTTCCCCCAGAAGCTCGCTTTGTTTGCGGACATTGATGCTTTTGTGCAGATAGCCTGCCCCCGCCTCTCCATAGACTGGGGCTCGGCCTTTAGCCAGCCTCTGCTGAATCCCTACGAACTTTCCGTGGTGCTGGGAGACGTGGAGTGGACGCCTCACAATGCTTCACCGCGCAATAGTGCATATCCAATGGACTTCTATGCCAGTGGCAGCCTTGGCCCCTGGACACCCAACTTCAAACCACCCGCCCTTGGAGAGTGCGAGAACAAGCCCTCCGCCGACTGCTGCGGCCGCTGCACGCGCGCCGAGCTAGAGAAGGACGACTCTGGCAAGGCGGCAGCATTGGCCGATTTGCTGGACTTCAAAAAGGGATAAGCGCTTTGCTTACTCTGACTCTGCCTAGCAGCCACACAGAGCCCTCCATCTCACGCGACCTACTGCTAAGATATTTAGATTTTAAGGTCGTCTGTCCAAATATAATGCTTACCTACTAATTTAGTTAGTACAAATTTGGTTATTAAGGCTTATTCTTTAGATTATTCATGTGTTCAGATCACATTTACATATATATGCTATTTGTGTGTTCTCAATAGTATCTTTCTTAAGTTATATAATTTAGTTGAATTTCTATGTTTATTTCCAATAGCGATGCAATTGTTATAATAACAGCAACAATTTAAAAATTTTTTTAACATTAAAATAATGTTTAAAACAATGCCAAATGTTCAACATCTTAAACGAAAGAAACAACGCGGGATTACCTTTGCATATCATGTTCATCAAGTGATAATATAATTGTCGCATTGTCCAACCCATTACCGTGGCTTGACTTCCTGATATGACGAGCAGGAACGTTCTGAGACGCGGCAAGGGCCTCAGTATATGTACATATACAAATGTGAGTCAGTATATAAAAGCGTCTGTCTTACTTATGCTAGCACTTGTCAGGAAAAAACAAAGATGTTTCCGCAACTGTTTTTTATTCCGTGACATCTTTCTCCTCTCTCACCAACACCAGTGGTGGCTTCCCTTCCCTCCGCACACTATACCAAGAAGAGTGTGTGAGAGAAAGGGAGAGAGCACTCTGCATGACTAAGTGCGTGAGAGAGATAGAGGGAATGAGTAAGCTCGTGGAAGGAAGGAGTAGCGTAGTATATACTAAAATGGCATTTCTTCATTCTGGATATAATGATACGACCTAAACCAGACTCGGCAGTCTGGTAGATGGAGTCATATTCAATGATTATGCGTTGTCACTTTTCTCTGGGATATCACAGAGACGGGCAGACATGTCTTTACACTTTATGGGTTCGGAAACGCTTACCCTAAACTCGTCTATAACCGGGCATAATAACTGGCATTCGAAGCCATTTACTGTCTTCGATTTTAGAGTTTATTTTTGATGGAATATTTAAGAACGGAACAGAACGTATGTATATTTTGTGTTGATAAATTTAATTTTATTGCAACAATATCACGTATATTTACAATATACACAAACAAATATGCTAAACAAATTTGAACTAAACAATTGGCTAGTTGTTTGTATGTACATATGTACAATTAATTGAACTAAAGTTGAATTAGCTAGAATATTGATAGGTCTATATACAATTGAACTATTAAGTTTACTAGAATTTACAATTATTTAATTCTGGCTAGTTGGCTGACACTGCAAGCGCCAAGTGGTTTGAAGCTCTGGAGTTGTTGATTCCATGATGTCTTGGATGGTCCTCGTCCACGTCATCTGCACCTCAGGTCCTGCAGAGTTTCGGCGTGTAGGATCGGATCCAGTTTGCCGGTAGCTGCCTTCGCGTCGGTCCAGGATAGATGTTGACGGTTGGAACTCATCGTTTGCAGTGCAGGTCTACTCCAGGCGGAACATGCGCTTTTATACATACGGATATACGCAGGTAGAAACGACTACGGCGATAAACATTGAAAAGGATATTGCCTTTCTAATGACTTCGACCTTGGGGAAATTGCCGGACCGCAATTCCGTGGAAAAGATAGCCGCGAACAGAACTCGTAATTTTCAAGAAAACCGCTTCTGTCGATAGTAAGGGAAAGATGATGGTAAGTAGGTAGGTAGAGTCCAGATAAAGAATTTCCAATGCATATGTTGTTTGTGTCTTTAACATTTGTTTATGGTTTTATATTATCTTATAAATAGTATAGCCAGGCATATTTTAAGGAAGCTATCCCTAACATGTGTTTGCTCTTAGCATTTTGGGAGTCGCCAGATTATTAAAAAATCTTGTCAAAATTATATTACACAGCATTTAAAATATAAAATGATTTACAATTTACTTAAGAGCTGTCAGGCAACCTTTGAGGAGGCATCCGTTTAAAAATAAATACAAGATAGTAACTCTTGATACACATATTAAATGGTAAATCTATGTTTTTATAAATATTTATGAGTCATTTCCTTAAATTGCTTTTGTACATCTAGTCAGTCGAATTTTCCTTTTGACTCAGTTTTCTTAGCAGTACCAACATTAACTTTTTAAATGTATACTTACATATATTTGATCTTATATTTTACTTGTTGCCATTCGATTCTTGTTTCCGCAGAATACAGTTTCCTCGAATTGTTTCCTTAAGATTTTGAATTACATTGAGTAGCTTCTTGCGTTCGTCTTTGAGAAAGAAGACCTCACGTCTTAGGGAGGTCCTAAAAATATACAAGATTGTAGCTATGGTCTATAACACGGTATATAACGTCTTACACTTCATGCTCCAAATGCCTTACATAGGTGTTATCTTCTGCATGGATTATCTCCACATCTTCTATGGAGTTTGTGCTTTCAGCTAGTTCTAGTTGGTAATGTATTTGGTCTTCCGAATCGTCCGGTTCTTCAGCTTGTTGGTTTGGTGCATTTCCCACAAATTCGATGAGCTCTTCCTCTGCATTTTCCACACCCAGGTGGCTCCGACTTGCCGAGCTCTCATCCAGAGTCTCCAAGCCAGTGGTATAATCACACATCTCAACTTCTATGATCTCATTGGCACTTTCAATTAGCGAATATGGGAGTCCACTGAAACTCTTGGCGTATTCCTGAGGGTCGTAGCTGTTTTTATTTTTGGTTCTGCTGCGCCTCTTTTTCTTGGATGGTTCTATTCTTGGCACGGGTTGGGTTCCCTTGATGGTGGGAAATGAGCCCGGCTTTAGTTTGGTTGGATTCTTCCGCGTGAACCCAAGCTCATATTGCATATTTCTTTCGAAATCTTCCGACTTGAAGTGCTCGTTGCAAATGCAGGCTGTTTGAAAAGGCATAAATGATTATTTTTCGTCAACTTTGGAGGATAAAGAATACCTGTTGAAGGGTTTATTCCATCCCGCTCGCAAAACTCGATCCATTTTTGAAGCTGGGTATTATCTTTCGGAAAATGAAAATAGCGCCACTTTTTTCTGTTTTCATTGCGATTGTTATTTCCACAATTTTTCACAGCGCAACGCATTTCGAATTGGATTTGATTTGCAAATAAAATTGTTAGATGCTTTATTTACAACCAGCTGATTACCGTGTCACGACTACTGTGGTTCGAAACTTGGCTAATTGTCGTACTCTACTTCACTTCAAGTCTGGTGTGCCTACTCAGCTGCCTACTCGACTGTAAAACCAAACTAAACTGAGACATACATACATATGTATATACCTCTCACTGCCACTGCATACTTTCCTATACGGATTTTACATTCGATCTTGCTGTCTGAATTTGAGGTGCAGTGGAATACGACCATCAGTGAATAAAAAACCCAGAAACTCTATAATATCAATTATTGAACAATGACATTTTTTATTCTGTTTTATTTACTTTACATTCGCATTTATAAACTATGGTTTTGGAAGCTGATACTGTTTCTGTAAACAAATTGCAGTGCAGTCAACTATCGATATACACGGCACTCAACAACACCTATTAAACAGCTGCTCAAGATTTGTTGTTTTGTTTATACTGGCTGTATTATATTTCAAATTATGTTAAAAAGTAGCAATATTAATAGGTAATGCAATGCATTGATTTAAGCCTTAACATTAACGGGTAATATTCCACTGCAGCGTCATCAATGAGCAGCTCGCTGCCGGTCAGACAGCCAGTGACCAAAGGAACCACCTGAATTCCAATAAGAATTCAACATCCGACCATTCCACCTGTTGGCAAGGAAACAATCAGGATGCTTTGGGTGTCAGTCTTGCCGCAGTGCAACTGTCCGCTGGGGTGCTCCAAATAGCAGAGCCCCCGCTGGACCGTGTGCGCAGCCAGCTGAGGGAACTGATGTAAGTAGTGTCATCTCGGAGTCCGAAGTTTTCCCGTTCCATTAATGATGAATGTCTGATTTTCCGTGTCAGTGGCAAGCAAAACAAGATCTATATCGACCTGTCCAAGGAAAAGTACAAGCTAGACTGCAGTGAAGTAGCAAAGTTAAATGATATGGTAAGTCGGGGATGAAATCACTTTGTGGGAATCAAACTTAACACAAGATACAAGATACTCTAATGATATACAGGGTGTCCCGCTATGTAAACAGCGAACAGCTTTGAAAGAAAACAACCGATTTTCAAAAATGAGGTATTTTTATTTAATTTGGTCCTTTACAATTTATTCAGACAGAATTGTTTGATTTACAGTTGTGCATGGCACAGCGTCTTGTTGAAACCAGTAACCGGTCAGACCTTTTTCACGAATTCCGTATTGTACAGCGTAAACTCTTCAGTTTTTACGCGTTTGTTAAGCGATCCATGGCTAAAATTGCACTGAATCAACGTTTCCAAAACTGGTCTACTCAAGTTAATCGGTTCAGAAATGTCAAAGTCATTAGATATTATTCGACATAGGGCCATAAAAGATGGCACACCCTGTACATATATTTAATTAATTGCTAATCGGAAGCACATTGGCATATGTCTTATACAAGGTACAATGTTCTGCAGTCTGTTCCATGGGTTTTACACACATCGTTTAATCCATAAATCAGTCCCAAGAGGCTCGCTAGCAAAGGCACAATGGTATGGCATTTTGCAATAGAGCTTAAGCATTAGGCTGTTCGGCCAACAAGACTGAACGAAATCTTATCACTGGCCATAGGCAAATGGCAATAGTCTAGTGGTGCAATCTTATCTTAAGGAAATCTACGAAACAAAGTAATAGCTTTTGTAAACTGGGTTCATTTATGATCCCTTACTTTGTATGTACCAGATGAACGACGTGAAGCGCTACAAGGAAAAGCTGACGCGAGTCAAGAGGGAGATGCAGGGTATCTACCAACGTACCAAAGAGTTGAAGGTAAAAAACCATTTTTATTGGTGCATAAAAACGTAAAAAGAGAACAAAAGAACAAAAACACATGCAAGATCTCCACTTTAATTTTTATTATCTTTGAATTTCCGATTGCAGAAACGCGCCGCCAACGTGGCGGCATGCAAACAGCGTGATTACCAGCGCAAGCTCGAGAGGCAGCAGCACGAGGAGTCGCTCATTGGCGGCCAGAAGACGCAGTAGAACAGCGACCGCTTGGCAGCGTGCAATTTAAAATAATATTTGGATTTTTCCATTAATAACTATCTAAGTACTAAATACACAAACAACAGTAGAACAAAAGTTGGACCATTTGGAAAAACATATTAATAATTATTTGTATAAGTGTTATGCAGCGTGTATCTGCTACGATACGTTGGAAATTATTATATTTCTTGACTGTAATTTAGGTATAATTAAGTAAATACTTTGGAGATTTCGCAAGAACAAAGCCACATGCACGCAGAGCGAGGCCAGCGCCATGAGCCAATCGAATACATTTAGCTATCAATATTAAATAATATAATCATATGTTAAACATTAAGATCGAGAGTGTGAGAAGCAATATTTAAACATTCACAGCGCCAAAAGCAGCGGCTTATTTATACTTAAATTTATAGTAAAAGTTGATCAAAAAAATGTAACACATGCATCAGCCTGCTGCACTTGTAATTCTACAATTAATTAAGAATTTTCACACTGAATCTAAGGGTAAGGTAAATGAGGGGAGTGTTTGTTTTTTTGTGAGTACACAGCATGCTCGTCGGGAGGGTTGGGGTGTGTGATTGGTTTCACATTTGTATAACTACTAAACTACAGCACGTTTACAATACATTACAATCATCAAACAACATCCATTGAACATGCAGCATCAGAGGTGGAAAGATGTCGGAGTGGAGGATTCAGCGGAACAGTAGAGGTGTGCCTCTTTATCGGTTCTTGTAGGTGGTGTAGATGGTGGTACGATCTTCTTAGCTAACTCTACTATACTCCTGATCATTCAGCATGTGCATTGCATCTGTCGGTGCGAGATATTTGACAGTGCCTAAAAGTATCAGAACGTTTATTAGTTAAGCAATAAAATGTAAGGAAAAATAGAAATTTAATAATCAGAAATGAGATTCGATTCGAATGGTATTCAAATTGTTATTTTTTTGTTTCGTTTCGTTGGGTTTTGTTTTTTTTTTTTTGTTTTGTTTATTGAGTTACAATATCCAATGGCCATTTATTTAAAATTAAAAGATCATCTCGATGATCGTGTAAGTTCATTTCGAGCAATATCATGTAACGCTTCTTGTCTGCGCCTGAGAGAGCGTCTATATGTAGTCTAGTAAATTGCATATATGGCGGATTTACAGAGGAAATCAATACGTTTTTGTAGCTTCATTCAAGTCGATACAAATGTTAAGCACTTTTGCCACATTTTCGGTAGCGTCTATCATCTATGCTATACTTTAGTATAGCTCATGCTTAATACTTTTATAAATTCATAGAGCTAACATCTAAGGGTCCCCGCTTGATCTGTTCATCAACTCAGATCGACATCGCTGAACCCGTCATTGTCTTTCTTAATTGAGCGGTCTTCAGTGTCTTTTGGCTTAGCTGCTTCCGAGGATGAAGATGCGGAGGCGGAACCGGAAGAGACCCTACCCTTACCGTTTTCATCTGTGCTGCCATTGCGCTGCAGGAACATCTGAACGGAGACATGGACAACGAATATGATGAAGGCGGCAATGCCGAAGATCTCGAAAGTGGTTCGAGGATCGGCGTTGAATAGTATGCCACCAATCAGGCTTCCCATGGAGACGCCAACGCCCTCGAATATAGCACCAACCAGACTCTGTAGAAGGCAGTGGAGTGTTAGAACCATTTCTGACCACAATGATCGATTGTACATACCTGCATGGTTGCCTCAGTGCCGGGTGGCGCAACAATGCTGGCATAGGAGGCCATGGTGGCGTAGAACAAGCCAAAGGTGACGCCATTTAGCAGCTCTATGGGCAGTATGTACCAGGGGTTCTGCAGCATAGAGTACAAAATAAAGCGCACCCCGAAGCCGAAGAGCACCAGGCTCATGGCATTCACGTGCCCGATCCGCTTCAGTATCCAGCCCGACAAGAAGAAGAATGGCAGCTCGCCGCCAAAGCATTGGATGGCCATGACAAGGCCTTGCAGTGTCTTGATGGAGGTGCCGCATCCCATGAACTGCTTGTCCAGAATCTCCAGATACATGAGTAGAAAGTTCCAGATCAGCGCCGTGCCGAAGCCAATGGCCACGCACCACAGAAAGAAGATCACACAGCGCAGAGAGAGGAACATCTGGCCAACATCCTTCACTATGTTGGAAGACAAGTGTGTTTGGGTGACCTGGAATAGAGAAAGGATCGTTAGAAACGGATCTGTACGGGGGAGACTGAAACTCACCTTCAACTTTGAGGAGGCAAGGACGTCGAAGCCCATTATGACTAGCGCCATCCAGAACACAGCCGTGTAGTTCTTGTTCACATTGTCGACCGACATGTGGTCTACCAGGACGCCAGCAAGTAGCGCAAAGATTCCCCATCCAAGCGAGCCGCACAGCCGCTGCTTCCCATACAGATGATGGCGTTCGCCCAGGATGCCAAAGCAAATGGCATCGCCAATGCTCACCACCACTGCCATGCCGATCCAGCTCATTATCAACATGCCGAAGAAGAACCAGAACTGGGGCTGAGCCATTGCGCTTCGCGTGTCAATCACTGGACTTTCAGAGAGTTGCTCCTTCAGGTAGTCGTCGTGGCAGTCCATGCGGCAGCTGGCGTTGAAGTACTGCTTTCCCGCCGGACAATAGAGCGGTACGCTTTGGCCTGCAACTACGCCATGATCTTGTGGAACCATGAAGAACAGGCAGTCACCTTCCTCGACAACGTCCTTCATGTTGATGCTAGTGCCGAAGTCCAGCTGCGGATTGGTGCGATTCGCCGCACAGTTTTCCGTTTGATTCTTTAGCCAGTCCTCGCACACAATGTCCCACATGTAGGGCTGGGCATCGCACTCCAAGTCGCAGGTGAGTGTCCGATTTCCGTAGAACGATTCCATATTCTTCTCCACGCACGCACCGTGCTCGGAACAGTGTCTAATGCTCGACACGCCTGCATGGCAATGGAACTGGACCTCAGGCAGGGGCTTGTCTATGCTGGGTACAAACATGATCAAAAAGAACGCGATACCAGTGATCACTTGTCCACAGAGGAATAGCAATCGATGGCGATGGTAGCTGCAATGGGAATTGAGATACTTGTTAGTTGTTACCGAGTCAACGAAAGGAAAAGTTTCTCTATTTACCGATCTGCAAGGTAGCCAAAGAGCGGCTTTGCCAGCATTCCAATTATGGGCAATATCATGTACATTGTCCCCACCACCACCGGGGAATAGCCCAGCTGGTGGGCCAGAGTCGGCATAAAGGGTACAACGGGTGCGGTGCCTGGAACGAGAACATCAGAACAGATAGTGAAATAGGAACAGAGCCAAATATTATAAGTGATTAGCGATTGGAGGAGGGAAGAGATGTGTGTCGGAGCTGATAAGTAATTCCTAATGTACATAGGCGTATTCATATTTATGCAGCTAAACCTGATATTCTATGTACATATTGCCTGTACGGCCATGTAGGGCGGCGTAAACGGGTGTTTGCTCGCATGTTTGATAAGTTAAGAAAAGTGCACCGTAAACAAGTGGAATTAGACAGGCGTCTGCCGTTTGTCGTTTATTTCGTCGAAGTGGAATTAAATGTTAATTGAATTAAAAAAGTAAAAGCGAAACATTAATTGCTGAAAGTGGTTCGGCTGTCGACGGGTCTTAACTTTTGAATGGGCATCGAATGGGATGGGCGCACACGCCAGCGACAGGCGACAGGCGACAGGCGACAGGGACAGCGGCTGTCCACTCTCATTGCCCTGCCCTACCTCGACACAATTGGCGTTTTCCGTGTGGCCTGGCCTATACTTTTGAAATAGTAGACAGTAGACAGTATTGCGGTGTTTATTTCCCATTTGGGAGGAATGTTATCGCCTGTCTGTGTTTACCCCACCAGAGAGTATACTAATTTTAGTGAACTTTTTTGTTCGCACGTACAGAATAACCATAAAAGATAACCATCAAGATGGCATCTACCTCGCTACCAAAGAATTTTGGAATTGGAGTTGATGGATCGGTTCTCTATCATTGTCGCATATATTTAAAGCAATCGACTGTCAATTAGTCACATTTATTGCTTAGATCAGAGTGGAATTTCTTTCCACAGTTTTTATTTCATGTGTCTGTCCCCAAAGAACGCAACTGTTCTGCGTATACTCTGATTGAATAGCGTGATTCCAATCGAACGAAACGCTCTCACTTTCGCAGTAGAACGAAGCGTTCTTCATCAGATATTAATCAAACATAGAGCAATATGCATTAGCTTATCGGGAAAGGAGAACGTTACCCATTGTTTAGTGGACAATCTGTTTGCTCTGACAAGTGCGCTATCACGCTGCTTGGCCAGCCTTATCTGCACTTTGGCCGCGAGGTTCAATGTGACTTTTACCCTTCCAAAATCTGAATTCCGCATGACAGGGGCTTTGTATGCGCGGGAGCACCTGCCGCTTGGCAGCATACTACTTAAATTAATGACTATCTGACTTTTGGGGGATGTTAATGGGTTAAGTGGGACAGGGCGGGATGGCCACTCACCGGCATTAAACAGAAAGTAATGCGCCTTCATCGGCAGCAGCTCCTTATCGATGTTCGGCTTCATTTTGGCTTAATTATGCTCGAGCTCGAACCAGCCGCTATCGAAGATCAATACTAATTGCGTGTTATTGAAATCGTCGATTGGATTGATTGGAACTCGGGTTCTCGTTTCCAGCGCGATGAGAATAGTATTACCCGGGCATAAACATTTACTTATGTACGTGCTTATTTACGACGATAGTTGGATTCACTCTATACACGGGTGTGAGTGAGCGCGATCACGTTTCTCGAACTCCAATTGGATATCGCTGCATCAGCATTTAATGTCTCTGATAGAACTGCAGCACTTATCACCAACCGCTTTTATAATACTTTGGGAACGCTCATATTTCCATTTTCCTAAGGCTCATGCACGCCGCACCACGAGTCAGTGTCAGGTCAGTCGCGTTCGGCAAGAAAAATACAAGTGGCCGGAGTTTTAGCAGCTTTGTATATCGCATCTGTTTTCACGGACCCGTGCAAATGTGCATAGGTTCTCGTCGTCTATCCGCTTATCTGCGGCACGTTATTTGTTGTAAGCTGGATAATACGCCCACCACCGAACATGACCAGGGCTGGCTGACTTTATTTGCAGAAAAATCAAAATAGAATTTAAAAATAAACCAAAATAGCAAACAAACAGCTGATTAGGGGTGGGAGATATCGCACACTTGATGGGTTCTAATTGTTCTAGCCGTTTCGATACGTTACCTATCGGTCGTAGCAGAAGAGAAATTGAAAATTATCGGTTTTAAAAATTAAAGTAAGTAAAGTATTCTTTCGTTTTTATGCTTACAACCCCACAATGCTGATTCAATTAACGACGGTGTTCTAGTCAAAAGAGTATCTTAAACAGTTCTAAGGAATTTTTACACTGTTGAACTTTTTGTTTCAAAATTAAAGCAAATGAAAGAGGTTTATTTTAGGTCAATCTCTGCTTTGCAGCAGACAAAATTCTTGCTAGCAAGGTATATGTATATTTCAGGAATTTACAAACAAATTTATGGTGATTTTGTACAATTTTTTAGTGAAACTACTGAACTTAAAGCTACAATGATACTATGCTTGTAAAATATAGGGGCAGAGAGGTAGAAGGGAAACATTTCAAGTGCACTTAGTCGTAGATGTGACTGTAGTGCTGCTGGTAGACGTGTATATAGTTCTCCTTCTCCTGCGGCGTCATTTGGGCTATCAGCTTGTCATCTAGCTGATCCAGGGGATGGGGCCGTCCGGCAACCGAAACAGTAGGTACATCGTCGGCTTCCTCCTCAGAGTCCGAGTTGCTGTAGTTTTCGAAGTCTAGATCGGCTGCAAGTAAATTTTACAATGAGATAGAATTCAACCTGAATCTGTGTTTAGAAAAAAGCACTTACGTATCTTGGCGTTATCAATGTCCTTCTCGTCGTCACTGGAATCGCTCGAGTTTGCATTCGATGAGTTGACGCGCATACCCTTCATGTGTGGCTCCTTCTGGCCGGGCTGCTTTTCATGCTGCAGCAGCACAGACATAATATCCTCGTTTTCCTTCCTGTTCCGGTGTCCGGATGTGCTTGACGTTGGGCCAACATCCTGTAGAGCCCCATCCGCCGCATCCGCATCGGTTATCACAGTGCTCTCCGTCATCCAAATGGGTCGCGACTTGCGCTCAACGACATTGTCGGACGTATCATCACCGCCAATGGTCACATCGACACGCGTCTCCTCAACGGCAAAGCCTTGGTTCCTCGTCGCTTCGCCGGACCACTGCATGCTGTCGGGTCGCAGGGCATTCGGTTTCGTGATACCACGTATCGTGTCAATGTCCACAGGCTCTGGTTCGAGGACTTCCGGTGCCAGCTTGATGCCCTCCACCTCACGCAGCAGATCGTAGAGTGGCTGCAGTTGCTCGTTGAAGTGGGCCAGCATCAGGCGCGAGTCCTTCTTTGGCATGGCCGCACTGTCCTCCTCTACCGAGCTGCCGCAGTACGTGCAGCGAAATTCCAGCGTGGCCATGTCGAACAGCTGGTCCGCCTCGAGATCCGTGAACGTCTTCGAGCACATCGAGCACTTGAAGCTGGCCCGGCTGGTCGCATCCCGTTCCTCTGTCTCCATACGTTTCCGCATCAGGTCCAGCTTGTACTTAACAACGTTGACAAATGTCTTGTAGTTGATAAAGTAGTAGTTGACCTTTTGCGCCTTTCCGTCCGGCCCCGTCTCCATTTTCAGCCGGATCTGGATGAATTTGTCGGTGCGCAGCGTGGTGATGCGCGCTCGGAGCTGCTTCTTCTCGAACCGCAGCAGCTCGCCAATGTCATCCTCCTTCATGCAGGGGTTCCGCACCAGCATGTCGATGATCAGGGCATCTTCCAGCGAGTAGAATCCCCGCACTACCAGCCGTGCCAGTTGCTTAAGACTGCTGGGGACCTCGGTGACATAGCGAACTTCTTTGGCCGGTGCTGCGTTCGATGCAGCAGCTGACGTCGACGACATGTCGTGAATATACCAACGCCTGTGGTGCTAGCTATTGCTATTGCAACCACGCGCTTCGCCCCGTTTTCCGCTCAACCGCAGGAGGCGTCAATATCGTTACGGGCAGCTCACCGTGTACCTACGATCGTCATTTGTTAATCGTTTCGAAGCCATATGGTACTTTTTGCTATCCTATTTACCTTGTTTCACTAGTGGTTTGTTTTTGTTTTAATTTTACAAATTCTTCAGCTGTTTCTTCGATGCGTTTGCATGGAATTTTTAGATGTTATTTATCCTGTAACCGGTGTGACCGCGGATTATCGATATGGTCTGACCCTCAGAAATATACCGAAACCATGTCACAAATTTGAAAATATACCGTAAATATACTAGCGAATTATTTGTATTCAAGCTGCATCATATTCCTCGTTTTTGGTATTCGGTCGAATATCACTAGCTAGCTCAGCCCTGAAATCAAAATTGTATCCGATTGATCAATTTCCTACAAGACTGGTTAAACTTAAATTTGTTTTCATCTTTATTGCATAAAATAAGGTTTAAGCAAAAACGGTCAACAACAATTTCCACTAAATTAATGTCCTTACATGAGAACTACACGTTAACTACACATTTGCTACATATTGACTACATTTGTATGTAATTACCAAAAGCGACACCTGAAGAGTTGGTTAAAGTACCTGAAGTACGTTTAAAAATATGTTGTTCGTTTTTTCATATAAGCACCATGGAAGCACCAGTGTGAAAAATCTCCGTTATCCACTTTTTGACATGCATTTTTTCCCGACATTTCTGAAAAATTTTGTATTTTAACGTCAAACGATCTCTGCTTTGGACAAGTGGGTGCACTCACGTCCATAGCGCGTCTTAAAATATACTGGAATATACTAGAAAATACTATGAAAAGTATCAGTGTGACCTCGGACTTCGCGATAAAGTATACGGTCTGAAAATCAGAAATATACCAAAATATATACCTAAGGAAAATCGAGCTAAGCCCACTTAATCCCCCTCCATTTAAACAGGTGCACAACTTTCTGTGTATATTTTGATTTCGAAATTAAGTTAATGGTAGATTTACGGTATATTGGTATATAATGGTATATTTTTATCAATTTCATCAATCTATTAAATTAGCATTCATATCCTCGTCACTGATTCACTTTAAATCAATTTCTATTTAGCGCGTATATTTGCGGTATATTTCGGTACATTTCGGTACATTTCTGAGGGTCAGACGGTATATTTGATCGATAAATAAACTCATGAACGCGGACATGTTTGAGCATTCGGTTCGATGATGATTGCGTTTCCATACAAAAATCAGTGCAAACCCCAACTAGAGAGTCTTTTTCCGTTAACAATTTAAATAAGAACCACGAGTGGCCGGAAAAACAACAAAAGCGCCCGAGTGCTGAATTTATAAACAAAAAATAAATATTTTTTTTACCAAAATCTGTTGCAGCGCTGAATAAAAAACATAGAGAGTGCAAACCCAATCGGGTATTTTTTTTAATCCCACGGCGCCCACAGCACCGTCTTTTACGGACCAACAAGAAAGAGCGTGCCAACTGTTTTTGTTTTTTTTTTGCGCTTCGTGTCTCTCTGGTTTTGCTCTGCCGTTCGTGGGCTTTCCCTCGGTGGAAATTCGGTTTTCCGTGCGTTGTTTGTTGCCATCCATCGGTCGTCGCGGAGTGCAACTACGGAATACGGAATACGGAAAGCAAGTACGAAGCGGATTCGAAAGCAAAACAGCAAGCGCCAAGAGGAAGCGAGAAACGCGGCGACAAATTGATTTTTTTTCGTGCGAGGACGGGAAAAGTGAAGAGAGTTCAAAAATTACATAAAGAAGGAGACAAAGAGAAGGTTCGTTTCGTCCTACCAACCCGCCCCCCATCTCGGGGAAAGCACATCAATTTAGATTAAAGTTTCATAAAAGTGCTTCTGCAAACGCATTTTTTTGGGCCGTCGCACGTGATTTGTTTTTCGCTTTCCTTCATTTTCACCATCCACATCCATCCACCAAATCTTCGCTTGGGTGTCGGTCCCACCCCTGTCCAGGGAGAGCCGGTCGCCACCAACCACCCTCATCCACCCGCAGCGGACTGCCGCCCGCGCCCGTGCCCGCTCGTCTGTGATGTCATTCCACGGACCAGCGACATCTAAATATTGCGTATATCTAGTACATACATACATCCTCGTGCATACATAATAATAATGGTCTTAGACATCCTGGCGCGTCCTCCCCATGCGAGCCTACGTATGGTGGGGCGCATTGGTAAATCGTTTAGTTCTTTGCATAACCCTTGAGCAGCCATGTACAATATATGTTACATGGAAAGGAATGCACATGCCTTGTGTGGGGTATATAATGTGATACATCGTATGTACTACGACTACACGGACGACTCTACAAATCAGGTCAAAGTTGCATAGTTTGACCCAGATCCGAGCACTGACTGACGTACAGCATGGCTTATGGGCCACCGATTGCGACTTGAATGGGAACCGTAATTGGAATGGCGGATTACCTTGCAACAGAGTAAGAAGGGCGAAAGATTTTACTTCAGGACAACCGGGTTCCCCCCTCCACCATAAGCTCTCCTTCTCGTCGGAATCTTTGGCTGTCGATCAGGAAATCAGTTTTTAGAAGGTTCTCCTCCTCAGTCTGTGGCTGCCTGTTCCTGCCCCCTGTTCTCTTCAACCCAAATAAATGTGTCTCTGCCATGTCTCCCCTTTGGACAAATACATATTTATCGATGCTACGCGATCTTAGGATGTTCCTTTTCCATTCTTTTAAAGTTTTACACGTCGAAAAACAGAAAACTTTCTGCTTAGGGTATAGCCCATCCTCGGAGCCATAGTGTATGATTTTGAAAGTAGCCTTGGGTTGTCCCATCTTTACATTTGATGCTGTTGAACAAAGAATTGGCACCGCTAGTCGCAATAGTAGCCCTGGGACATTGGATTGCCCCGTCCGTAGATAGCCCAAGGTGTTTACTGTTCGAGTGTTCGAGTGTGTCCAGAGTTTTTTGCAGTTCATGTGTTTTGTTCGTCTCGTTCGGACTCCCACTCCGATTCGCACTCCAGCTGGCGAAAGTGTGGAGGCAGTCAACACTGAACTTGGGGGAAAGAAAGCCCTGGCCAAAACGGCAGGCCCACAGCTGGGAGCAGGCGAAAATATCGACGTGTTTCATCCGGGAGGGGGCTGTGAGGGGCATTGAGGGGGGATGTGTTACTGCTGCGAGCATTTTTCCTTTGTTTTGGGCGAGTGTTCGCTGCTCGGATCAGAGCCCAAATGGGCTTGAAACAACGGGGACGAAAATCGATAATGCTACCCCTGGCAGCACGCACGGGCACGGACTCCCGGGCTGCGTTGCCAGGGAATGGGAAGCGGAGTGGGAAGGGGAGTGGGAATGAGAATAGAGTGGAATGTGGAGCAGCAGGCCCTGACAGAGAGCAGCGATTTAAAGCGTGTGGTAGTTACCGTTGTCGAGTGGCAGAGGCAGTGGGGAGTGGGGCGTGGGCGTGGGCGTGGGCTGGGAGGGTGGCTCACAATCCAAGCTGAAACCCAGTTACGAAAATAGACACAGAGCTCAAGCTGCTGCTGCTGCTGCTGCTGGAAAAGCGCCTCACAGTGGAGGCCCAATTTTGCCTGCTGCGCCGCGGAAAACCCTGCAGAGAGAGATAGAGAGGAAAAGTTTGCTCCAACGTCATGGTGCACGGTGCAATAGAAGTCTGGCAGCAGAAGCACTTTCCGGAGGTTTAATTAAATTACTTGCTTAGTTTGTAATTAAACATTTTAAGGGAAGCGCCAAGAGGTTGTTGCAGGCTCCAAAGTTGGCTTGAAAACACACACACAATATGCCTGGTCATGTACACGGAATGCATTTTGTTCTTGCACTCGAGGGCCACCCAGAGCCAACCCCGGTGCAAGTCTGGGGTCAAACAGCAATGCGCACCGTGATTCTGGAGCAATAATCGGATAAAATTACAAAGAAATCCTTGGTCAATGGATGCCTAACGTAATAAGCGCTACCAAATCTATTAAATTATCACCCAAAGTGAGTTGTAATTTGGTAAAATTACCCAGACGATTCACACTCAACCGTTGAGATTGGCTCCTCCACTGCTTCTGTCTGTGAAGGGAGCTTCTTTGATTTGGCAATGTCAAGGGGGAGGAGGAGGATTGTGTAACTTGTAGCCAACGGAGGGGAGGAGAGGGGAGAAGAAAGCAGAAGCTCCGCGTTGCTCGGATAATGCCAACTTTTGGCTGTCGTGGCACACAATTTGTACGAGTATTTGCATTTGTCGCACAATCAAATCTCGACAATAAAAGGCCTCGTCAACGGAAGGGATAAGTACGAGTTGCAGACGAGTCCGCCCCAGGCCGAATGATGTATGCTCTTGGCGCCACGGAAAGCAGGCCGTTGGATGGGTCCGGCGAGAAGCACTCCCCGAGCATAGGGTGCACTCGGACCCGGGAAAACCCGGCGGAAACGACAGACAAAGCCCAGCCAATGTCGCTGCTGGCACGCCCACGGGGCGGACAGATTACTGCCCTTTGTCTGTGGCCATGTCCCAGCGGAAAGCCGCTCCACTTGCTCCAAGATGATGCAGCGAAGCGAGCCAACGATAAGCGCTTTGTCGAGGCCCACCTTGAGTCCCGTCCTGCCCCGGTCCACGGAACTGAGCGAGGACGAGCCTGAATCGGCATCCCTGTCGCTTATGGCAATTAAGTTCTGCTGACAGAAAGAGGCATAATAGCCCCAGTTTGAGGGCAGATCCGTAGTTGAGTACGGACGACCTTCTGGTAGATAGACACCCGATGCTGGAGTTTAAAGTTTTCGAATAGATTTCGTTGAAAGTTGGGCCCAAGCAGGCGTCAAAGATTACGATTTGAAAATTTCCAAAGCTCAAAGTTCCCGCTGTAAGTCCTTAAAAGTCTCGACTCCTGCACACTCCGTCCACCGGGGGGTGCCGTAGAGGAGCCTCATGTTTGAAGGATTTACAACTTCCGTTGCGAAATTGCAAACCATAAGGCATGTGGCATGGGGCATGGGGCATGGGGCATGGGGCACATTACCTTGGCTTAGTTCGGGGCTGCAGTTGGAAACATTGTACGCTTTATCGTAGAACTTTTTGCAGCCACAACACAATCGCAATCGTCAATAGGGGGGCAGGCGAGGTCGGAGGTTATTGGTTGCACGCTAAACCCACGAAAGTGTGCCATAAATCTGCTCTTTGAGGGAAAGCCAAAGCCAACTCGTGTAGCTGTGGGCCTGGTCAGGTGAATCGGTTAGCAGCCATTTTGGGTCCCCTTTTAATCCCTCAGTTGAAGGGAAAAGAAAGCTGAAGCATATGGCTTTTAATCGCCAGCTCAGGGAAGATGTGTACAACGACAAGGAAACCCTTTTTAAGCTCTCGTTTCAACTCTTTTCCTTTCAGGTGGACCTCGTAATTGCAGGTGAAAGAGGGTCAACGAGGTCACGCGGAGGACTTGTTCCAGCATGCACGTCGTATACGTGATGTAAGAGAGAAGGCAGAAAAGAGTACGAGTACAAGAGTACGAGACAGAAAGAGAGAAACAGTAGAACGGAGGAGCGAGTGGAGCGAGAGGAGCTAGAGGCACGGAGAGGGAGCAGCAGGGAAGGCAAAGTGAATCTCTTCCAGAGCACAATGTCATCGATCTCGGCCCAGGGCGTGGTCGAGCGGGCCTCTGCCGAACTATCGAAACGCATCAACGGTCTGGGACTCCGATCAAAGCACCACCACAGCAGCGGCAGCGGCAGCGGCAGTGCCAGTGGCGACGGCGCCTCCTCCAATTCCACGTCCAGCACGACCGCGTCCAGCGGCAAGACCTCGGTGATGGAGCGCGTCACGAACGCCCTCTGTGGCGGTGGCAACTCCAATGCCAACGCCAACGCCAACTCCAATTCCAATTCCAACAGCGGCAGCGGCGGCAACACCTCCTCTGCGGCAGCAGCAGCCGCCACTGCCGCGAGTAATGCCAATGCCCCGCCCACCCCCGACAAGCCATCGCGGGGCAGCCAGAGTCCCGGCACCGTCGCACCACAGCCGCAGCCGCTGGTGCCACCGCCGGCCAGTACCGTGCCGGCAACGCTCAACCCGACCTCGACCGCGGCCCTCCTCATGCAACAGCAGCAACAGCAACAGCAACAGCAGCAGCAACAGCAGCAGCAGCAGCACCATCAGCTGCAGGCACAGATGGCCGGCTCCACGCTGATCAACTCGAATCACCACTTGGCCATGTCCCCAGGGGGATCGGGACCGGTCCCGCCACCATCGGGATTGCCACTCGGAGCCCCACCAGCACCGACGGTCAAGTCGATCGCCAAGCAGATGAACATCCAGATTCCGGGCGTCGGTGTCGGTGTCGGCGCTGGCGCGGGCTCCGGCTCGCCCACATTCAGCACCATGGGCATGGTGGCGGCCCAGAAGGCGGCCGCCGGAGGAGGGACGCCGCTGCAGCTGCGCAAGCAGCTGCCCAATCCCCACCTGCACCATCCGTACGGCAATGTGGTCGTACCGGGTGTCCCGGGCTCGGGCTCGGGCCCGGTGCAGGCTTCCCAGTTGGTCGCCGTCGCCGCCACCCAGTCCACGCTGATCCTCCACAAGCACCCGCACCCGCCTCTCATCCACAGCATCGACGCCCTGCTGCTCGACGACCGCTTCCTGAATCGCTTTTTCCAGTACTTTTCGCCGTACGAGCGGCGCGTCCTCGCCCAGGTGTGCATCAAGTGGCGGGACATACTGTACCGCAGCCCCCGCTACTGGTCCGGCCTGCTGCCGACGCTGCAGTGCCGCGAGCTCCGCCAGATGCCCGGCTGCGACCGCGGCAAGCTCTACAACTCGCTCATCCGTCGCGGCTTCCATGCTCTCGGCCTGGTGGGCGCCTCCGATGAGGATGCCCTGGACGTGGTGCACTCCTTCCCGCTCGCCTCCAAGCACGTCCACTCGCTCAGCCTGCGCTGCTCCTCGATCAGCGATCGCGGCCTGGAAACGTTGCTCGATCATTTGCAGGTGAGTCTTTTTTTCCGACAGAAACATGACACTTTCTTCAGCCTCCCTCAGCTGTTGGCTCTCCACTTTACGGCGCACTATCTCTGCGGCAAAGCAGCACAGAGTTCCCAAAATATATGCTTTGAAAAGTTTGGGGGCAAAGTTTCTGGGGCCCGTCTTCTTTCCGGCATTCGCTCGAGTAGGGGACCGCCCAAAGGACCTCTCAGAGAGCAGCTGCAGCCTCCCCTGCGAGCGACTTTCATTTGGCCTAAAGTCTCGGTCGACGGAGGCGGACGCAGGAGGACGGGGAAAAGTTGACAGTGGTCAGTCCCGTGTCGGATGAGATCCGAAATAAACCCGCACCATCTCGGCGCTGGTCAAGCGAAACTATTTTCATTTTATTTCGGGAACGAGAACTTGTGCCGTGCCGCGCGCCACACAGAAATAATGAAACGTGTCAGAGCTGAAAAGTGTGTCATCCTCATCGCCGGGAAGGGGGGAGGCCACAGGCAGAGGCAGAGGCAGAGGCACAGTCACAGTTTTCGGCACTTGTCGCATAATGAATTGATGCGATCAATTTCAGATGCAATCACATCAAAGAACCCTCGTAAATCTCATTTAATTTAGCAAAATATTTTGCTCCGCTAATTTGTTCATTCGGGAGCGAAAGTTCCCTCGAATTGAATTCATAATTTGAATGAATCTTTCATGAGGTGAGCGGTGCGTGTGCCGAATGGAATGTATCTGGGGCATTTTCATTATTGTATTTTTGTTAAATACAATCAAAATGTTCTCTTGTTGAAGAAGACACAACTTTTGGTGGAATACCCTGGAAGAGGGTATGTTTTATTTTGGCAAGGAGGGATAAAATGATGAAAAAAACGTTGCAGAGAGATGAAAAATATACCTAAAGAATAGGCAGACCCGAAGAGAGAGAGAAAAGAAAGAAGAAAAGTGACAGGAAAACCCAAGAATCGCAGAGAATGGCAGCAAAAAGCACTGCCTGTCACGTCACACAAAGAGCAGGAAGCTGAGAGAGTGACAAGTGACAGTGAATAAATAGGCAGCTCCGGGGAGAGCGGAGGAGTTTAGGAGGGGGCACCAGCGGCTACCATCCGAACGATCGATTTGCAAGGGTATTAAGGGAGCTGAAACGCCGGAAGCTGGTCTCTAATTTCCACCTGTCAACCTTTTGTCGAGAACTCTCTACCCTCAGACTTCGATGAGGTAATCCTGTACGTTTTCATTTAGCCAGTGGAGCTACGTTGTGCTCCTCCTCCCAATTGAATAAAGCAGAGTCCCCAATAAACAATAACTTCATTTATGATATGACAAAACCCCTACTTTGCCCGAAGGTCATATGGCAGGCAGACCCAACCTAAATCGGATTGGCAGGACTAACAAGTGCGGTTCGTCCTTAATTGGTGCTCAGCTGTGGTGGAAGCGAAGCAAATACATTCGTTTCATGGACCAATTCAAGGCAATCTGAGGGCCTAAACCACCAGGGGCCCGGCAGGAAGGAGGCAAGCCGGAAACTGGATAATGGTGGAGCACTGGCAGTGCCACAGTCCATCACACACTCAATGGGTTGGACTCCTCTCCGCTGAGAGTACGAGTGCGAGTGCGAGTATGTCCCCCCCCCACTGTCACTCGGAGGGACTGCTGATGTCAGAATTAATCCAATGTGAATGCATGTCATGTTTATGGGCCTAGTTCTGGGTACTGGTGGCCGCCCACAAATGGTTTGATTGCAAATTGCTGTCACTGGATGCGTCAACAACGCCCCCACATACAAGCGGGGGACCCAAAGGACGACTGGAGCGCCGATGATGGTGGTGGGAAGAGGATCAACCGGAGTGGAGTGGAGTGGTGTGTGCGCGGCAGTTTGACCTTGGGGAATCGACGGAGTGCCTCCCAAGTGCATGTCCTTTCCCTCCGGACATGCAATGCGAAACGAATGCTAGCGAATGCGACGGAAATGCGACGAATTCTACATAGTACATTCCCATTACATATTTAACGGAATGGCCAATGCGCTGGGAGTACGGATACGGGTGTACGGGTGTACGGGTGTACGGGCTATGCCCGCCATTTCCCGATTGCCGCGGACGTGTATCCTCCAAAGTGGCCAACGTTGAAGTGCCAGGAGCGCGTTGAACCCAGCCCCGTTGACCCATAAAACCCACTAGAGAACCTGGGCTTGAAAGGGAAGCCTGAATTACCTGCGTATAAATAAATCGCAGCGATTACGAGTACGGGGACGATAGTTTTTCGCCCGTCGAAGGGTCGAGGGAGATTCTGGAAAGCCCTATGCCCCTGCCCCTCTGCCATTTCATTGGAAATTCGTATTTATATTTGTGTACAACAGAAAAACCCACATGCAAACACTGTGAACAATTCATTAGCATTACTTTTTCTGCATGTACAGATTGTTTGTTCTTGCATGCAAATATCGCGTGTATGCAAAAACCCTTTTTAAAGAAAAAATTGTGTGTGTTTCCCTTAAAGCGGGGAAATTTTGCTCATTTCGGCTCTTGCGATATTCAAAAGAATGAAAAGCGAAAGCTACACACAATGGCCGATCATTATGGGATGTTCAGAAACTACCCAGAGATACCCCCCGAGATATCGAGTAACGTCATCTACCTAAACTTGTATACACATGTCGGAACGAACGTTCTATTCGTATTCGTATTCGTATTATCATTACATTTGCGTGGCTGCTGACTTTTGGTATCGATTTTTGGGGCAGCAAAAAGTTTCCCCTTGGCCACATCGTAAGGAAAACTTTCATAATTTTCCATAAAAACAGAATAGCAATGGGAACGGGAATGGGAATGCCAAACACACAGAGTGTACAGACGAAAATCCGTACAACAAACGGCAAAACCGTACAGCGTTTACGTACAACATTCATAATGAACTTGTGGCAAACTTGGCAACGATATTATTATGGCTTGCTAGTCGGTGGCTCGACTGCTGACTGCTGACTATTGCCGGAGTTAACAATGCGACTAGTACGGAATCCAATTACTGCCATTCCATACACTCATATCCAGTAAAACATAACCGTAATTAGACCATTTGAATCGTTAATGAGCTGGGAGCTGGTTGCTGGTTGCTGGGTGCTGGGACTTTTGCTTATAATTAATGCAAAAAAGCCTTAATTAGGCAAATCATTTACTGGCACACATAAAAGAAAAACTAACGGAGGAGCAGGACCCGGCATGCGTACCCTCTGTGCCCCGGAGTCCACGACTGATTGATTGTTCATTATGTATTGTATTATGGTATTGGTATTGCATCTAAAGCGTACCTTGCCGCCTTATCGAATTTCTACCGATTGTTGTTTTCAGTTTCAGACTCCGGCGTAGGATTTGCTGGGGGTTGGGTAATGCGTTTTTCTGCTCATGTGATTTCCTGTGCCCGTACCCGTACCCGTGCCCGTGGTTTCTATATCGTGCTTCCGGCTGCGCTGCGTTGGTTGTTTATCGCTTTTGCGGGCTTTGTTTCCGCCGGGAATCAGGGCGCCAGCCTCAAGAGCAGACAACAATCATGGCCTGGACGTGGGCCTGGACCTGGTCCCGACACAATGTCTGGCCCTCGAATCGGGGCCATGTTTCACTCCGGCAAAGGTCAAAGTTGATCGCGTTGCACGCTGCTTTCAGATGCGATTTAAAGCCAGCAGAAACTTTTAGCAGTTCCACGGCACAACTTTGGACCACTGCAATTTAATCCGAATCCGAATCCGAATCCCCGCCCCCGCAGCCCGTAGCCCATAGCCCGTGCCCCGCCATCCCCCCACTCGATTTGTTTTGCCACAAAAAAGCCAAGGGATGATTGCTAATTGCCATTTTGTGTGTGTTTTGTGATTGTTGTGGGTGTGCGGTGAACCACATGATATATCGAATGGCAAGTGGAATTCCTGCTGAAATTGGCAGTTCGAATGAATGAAATGCTCTCAAAATTGTAATTGCTTAATTACTCAATCTGTATCTGGACTACTCTGCGGGTTCATTGCATATCCTCTGTCCTTTCCAGGAAAACTATCACTGTGCTGATCTGTAAGCAGTCCTTGAGAGCTTAAGTGGCAGAAGGAGGGCTCTCCTTAATATCCGATTGTGGATTTCATACTTCATAGTTCCGCTGGTGCCAATACGCTCTTTTCCACGATTCGACCTTGTCAGAATTTTCCAAAAATAACAGCTTAAGTAAATATATAAACATTTCATAAATTGATCAATAAAATGTTTTATCTCCACATTCTAGAAATAATAATGCTTCTGTGGCTGTTGTTGTTTGCTGTTTTATAAATACCTTGTGGTTCAGTGGCTCCATTGAATTTCAAATATGCCCCCATCTCTTGGGGAATTTACTGTCTGCCCGAAACATTTACCTGAGGCACCCATACGAGTGCGAGTGTGAATACATATGTGAATACCTATAGGTATATGAATTCTAAATTCTTGCGCCTGTGATTGGCCTTTATTTTCCGCTGGCCAAGTGTCAACACGTAGTGTGTGTGAATGCCATCAAATGTCCAAAAGTATTTCAGAAATCATCACGACAGCAGCTCATAAAAATATTTTCGCTTGACAACCGAATAGCACACATTTCCGAGGACTAATATGGCAAATGGCAAATGGCACCCGAAAACCATTCACCCAGACTCTGACGATTCGATTCTATTATGCTTTATTGTGCTTATCCATTCGATATACGTATGGATATTACCGGAGCAACGTGCCAATCAAAATTCACTTTGGAAATTTAAAGCTGTCTAAAAATTCATTGTAGCATGCTGAAAAATATCAAATAACTTGCAGATACAGATACAGAATGCAATCGGAGTTCACTTACGGGCGTGCTTGGCCTCCACGAAGAGGTTCTTGCACTTGGCCGCCTTGATCTGAACGCCACACTCTGGAAAGGTTTGGTTTGAAAGGACTTGGGCAGGGGCAATGGACTGCCAATTAACCATATACTTACGGGGTCCGTGGGTCTGTACAACTTCTTTGCAATGTTCACCTTGAATTTAGGGGGAAATTCGCAGAGAGAATCGAGAATTAACTGTTGGAAAACTCACTGGGTCGTTTCGGTGCAGCCGACACAGAGCCGAGGACGGCCAAAATCACAAATACGATTAGATCTAGGGGCTGCATGATGGGATGACTTCCTGCCGGATTAAACGGAAAACTCGGCTGTAGTTCGCTTTTATCACAGATGTTATATAAGATCTGTGTGTGTGACCAATCGCGTTAGGTATGGATATTATATTCTTCTTCCGGCTTTACTATTCAAGAACTGATTTTCATGGCTGATCATCATATCTATGTTTGACGAATCGCACAATAGTTTTCTGTGTATTTTGTCTTTTCTTTTGGCTGTACTACGCTTCTGCGGGCTGTGACTCCGTTACCTGGTTGTCCGTTATTCTTGTCATCTGCGCCTGAAAGAAGCTTTGTGCAGGCAAAGCTTAAAAGCCTTATCTCTCGATCTGCTCTTCATTCAAAAGCTTTGCTCCACACGCACACGCTCTCTAGTGCCCTGGAGTGCAGTCGTGATCTCTTGCTCTCTCAGTTGATTCATTGCCTTGATTGCTCTCTCTCTCTCTCTCTCGGCTGGTAACTTTCGCTCTCACTCTCAGGGCCAAGTGCAAGGGAGGGGAAATGGTTTGTCCATGGAGGCGAGAAAAGGGAAATTAATGTATGAGAATATTCAAAGGGAGCCTGATACAATTTTATTTGAAAATCCTTCAAAGGTTGCCTTAAATTCCTAGGGAGAGAGCTTTTACTTTTCGACCTTACTTTTTCGGAATTTCCCAACTAAGAATTAACCAATTTTCCACGATTCGCTTCGCAGAGCTTGTTTGAACTGGAGCTGGCTGGATGCAATGAAGTCACCGAGGCTGGACTGTGGGCGTGCCTGACGCCCCGCATCGTGTCCCTGTCGCTGGCGGACTGCATCAACATCGCGGACGAGGCCGTGGGGGCGGTGGCCCAGCTGCTGCCCTCCCTGTACGAGTTCTCGCTGCAGGCAAGTGCTGATCCGACTGGTACCCACCGGACAAACCCCCAAGCCCCCCAAACGCCCCGCCCACTAACCCAATCTCCTTCCCCACACACACACACAGGCCTACCACGTCACGGATGCGGCCCTCGGCTACTTCTCGCCGAAACAAAGTCACAGTCTGAGCATACTACGCCTGCAGTCGTGCTGGGAGCTGACCAACCATGGCATCGTGAATATCGGTAAGTGGCGGCGATCTCCCCCGAACTCCCCCCCGCCCCCCGTTCGTGTGGGGGGAAAACTTTGAAAATTCCACTGGTTTCCGCTTCACGGTCGGAATTGTTAAGCGATGTCAAATGGCATTACCTTACGGGCTCCACGGTCCGCTCCATCCATGGCTAAATCCCTCCGCTGGGGGTCGTCCCGCCCAACTGAATGTTCAATTTGCAAAATGTTGCCGATGACGACTCACACGGCAGCGGCGCTAATGGCACTTCTTGTGGCAGTGCTGTCTGTGGTCCAGAAAAACTGCCTAGGATATCCGCCAGGAGTGTGTCTGCTGGAGCATGAGCTGTAGATGAGCTACAAACAAAAAAATATACTCGTACGGGCGTATGAACAAACTTATAATGAAATGCTTGTAGAAAGACCTATTCCTTGCGGGTTTGGCCTGCTTCCGAAACGTGTCCTTTGTGCCCTCGTCACATCATCTCCAAACATTGCACTCAACTAATTGAAACTTTTTTGTGGGACACTTTTTGTGATGCTCTGCTTCCTGGGCAACGGGCAACGGGCAACAAAGTAAACGGCTCTACAAGGGCTTCTACGTCCTTTGACGTCCCTGACAGCTCCCTAACTGTACCCTTTTCAGCTGCAACTTGGCCTGAGCCTCGTATTATTGTATCTTGGACCCCACCACCAGCATCTGTGCCGAGAAGGTGGGGCCAGCCCCAATTAAGGATTCGTTCCACTATAAAGATCGCTGGAATGACAGCAGAAATGACGGAACATTTAGTGGGGAATACCTAACAAACTAAACTCATTTCATTCGTTTTCCAGCATTAACCTGGTCGTCAACCACTTTAATTGACGTATTTGTTGGCTGGAACAGAGCAGCGGAGCAGCAGAGCAGCGGAGAAGCAGAGAGCTTTAGAGCATACTTATGGGGCAGCGGAAACCCCATTTAATATGCAATAGACGACGTTGGCAGGCATAAACCTGCCATTCATTTCGCTTCCCAGGGAGAGGAACACGCCTCTGCACGGGTACGTTACTTTGACCTTTGCCATGGCGACGGCTATGGCTCAACGGGCTCAAACGCCCACTTGAGTCCCTGGCGACCGACTCGACTCGACTCGACTCAGCTCGACTCGGCTCGGCTCTGCTCGGCTCGGCCTGTGCAGCAGCAACGTCTGTGGCAGCATTTTGCCATCAATTTCGTGGCACGTCATTCTCTTTTGCTACCTGTGCCAGACTCCCCCCAATCCCCCTGGCTGTGGCAATCAGCAAGAACCATAACAACGCCTCCATCCCACTCCCACATGCTATTGGGCCGCAAATTAAGCTGCAGATTGCTGCAAGCGCACAGGATGCGGTTTCCCACTGCCTCAGAAGTCGCCCTTCGCACCGAAATCGAATTATCGCAGCTCAATGAACAAACTCGTTCTCGTTCAAGTGCAGGACAGGACAGGAACTGAATCTGGAGTTGCGGCTTAAGCTGGGAATGGGACTCGGGTCAGAGGTATTCGAGGTATCGCATGGCCTTGGGCGAAAATACTGCTGGTTGCCCATGCAGTTCGTTTGCTGTTCACCTGGACAGAGACTCGATTGTCAGTATGCGAAAACCTGATTAAACAGCGACTACAGCTTTCTAGAACTATTCGCTCAAAAGATCAAAGAGTTTATCTTAGTAATGGAAACGTAATAGAAAATGTCGGGGCATTCCCTGAACAAACTCCAAAGTGGTCTTGGTAAAGTGCTTAAAACATATTTAAACACACACTAAAGCCTCCTTTTGCATCTTGTTTACCGACAATATTTGCGTGATGGATGAAGGAGCATGGAGAGCCCAACAACGCCCAACAAACAGCATATTACACATCCGCACATCCCGTGCAACGGGGATTGGCTCCTGTCTCTGCCGGTCTGTGGTGTGTTTGTCCAGGGTAACGCCGTCCGGGCGGCGGTGCGGCGGTGCGGCCCGGCGTGTCTGAGGGGCCCTAAGCAAATAGGCGCCACATTAAATGCTGGCATTTTGTGTAAATTGGGCGGCAGTCATGAATTGTTTGTGGAACTCGACGAAAAATCAAAACAAAATACGAAATTCAACAAAGAATCAACACAGAACGACAATGAAGTACATATGCGACATGTCGGAGAGAGGAAATGTACATTGAAAAGTGGCAAATAAATCGGATAAAGCTCTCGCAACAAGAACAATAAGGAGAACACTCTTTTCTTTGTTATTCTGGCTGTAATCCATCACGGATTTGCACAACATGCGGACCCTCTTTACGGTTGCCTTCGACTCGGCTGAGAAGCTCAGGCGCCACAGTTTAAGCCATTGTCAGAAGTTGTGCAATCCGGCCCCGGGAGGAGTCGAGCTCTCCGTTCCCGGCTGTGGAAAAACTTTTAATAAAAACAACTCGCAACCGTTTCCCTCTAGCAGTGGCAGTGGCAGTGGCAGAGGCACGGTGTCCGGGCTTATCAGAACATCGAGAAGCCGTTTGGCTAATTGCATTTGTCATCTAATTGAATTGGGGAAAGTTTCAAGTTCGCAGAGCGGCTCGACCGCTGACTCTGCCCCTGGGAGGCGGCTCAGGTCGTTAGCGCTGGCCCAGTGCCAGTCGGCCAGTCGGCCATTCGGGACCAGTGGACTCTTTTATTGCCTTGCCAATGGCTTTGGCTTTGGCTTTGGCTTCACGTTCAGCTTTGACTTCAACACATCATTTGGCACGCAATCCGGGCCGAGCCCCAGCCGGAAACGGAAATGTAAGAGCGGCTGACTGACACATTGAATGGCTGTCTCGTCGCGCCCCGTCCAAGCTAATTGGCAGCGCTTCGAGGTCGTTCAACTGGGCGTATGCGTGATTTATGAGTCCGCACGTGTGTGGGCACGGGTGGAGCGCGGGTAGACGCGGGTCGAAACAATGAACAAGTTAATCTCCCATTAATTAGTAGTGTCAACCGAAATGCCGGATCCCATTTAGCAGAGCCGCACACCAGCAGCGGGGCAGGGCCTCAGCCCCCACTCCCCCACTGTCCCAAACTTTCTACCGCACAGAATCGTGCGACAGCAGGGGCCATCTTGATCGCTGATTGCCGGCTGTGGTTCGTTTCGCGTCTGAACAATTGCATTTGTCGTCGACGGCGACATGTCCATCAATTTAACCCGCAAAGTGCACCGGGACTGCCGGCCAAAAAGCTTTGCCACCCCCCACCTACCCACCTTGCCACTGTTGCCAAACAAAATGCTAGCCAATACACGGTGGGATGCATTCCATCCGAAAGGGTTAGAGAACCGTGGGAATACACCCTGAAGGGGCACGGCCCACCGTGCGAGTGCCGCATCGCAACCTTTTCGCTCAACATTATCAGGTGCACGTATGTACAAGTATCATATAAATCGAGCTGCCGGTCTTGACCAGAATAAGTGCCAGCCTAGTGCAAATTATGTTGAGCCTGTGTCGCATGTATCTATGGGAGCCTGCTGCTTCGCGGGAACATTCCTGCACGCCGAGACACCAAATTCATCTTCTTCGGTCGGGGCGGCACCACCGTCAGCTCTGCGCCTGTCCGTCCGAGCGCCAAGCAATTGATACATCTCCCTGGCAGTCTGCAGCTGCAGCTGCCATTGCCGCATCCCCATTCCGCCCCATTCCTCCAATCCCTCACAGGGGGAGGAGGAACGCCCCTCGGGTGTCGTGTTCATTAAATTACATTTACATTTTTCAAGGTGCTCGCTCGACGCTGCTGCTGCTGCTCGGACTCTCGTCTGGTGTCGGTTGGTGGGGCTCTGCTATTCGGCTGTCGCACGCTTTTCGTTGGGAAATTGTTAATTAACTTAATTTTTATTTTTATAAAAGCTCTTCGGGGGGCGATGCCATCCGATGCCCCCGGCATGGCACGCACTGTCCCCTGCGACGACTTCCCATTTGGCCAACTTGTCAATCAGCCGTCAGCTGGTCGCTGTTTTTGCGCACGCAGCGACAGCGACAGCGACAGAGACAGCAGCAGTGACCCTGAACCTGAACTTGGATGAAATGGCCACGCAGGCAGAAGCAGAGGCAGAGGCAGAGGCAAGGCCGGACGGACCACAAGAGTATTTGAAGAGCGGCGAGTGTGCACCCGGATCGGAGCACTTTCTCCCTGATTAGATCCTGGCACCTGTTCAACTTCCAGTGAAGTGCACAGGCCACAGAGAATCGGCCATAGACACATGCTCAGGCCCAAGGCCAATGCGATTGAAGGGGCTTCGAGATGCATAAAGTGTTGCGTTGCGTGGTCGCTGACTTCTCTTCGAGTGGGCGAATGAAATTGCATTTGATGACAGCCAAGGAGAGGGCAGGAACACACTGCCTCGCATCAACCGAGGAGCTTAACGTCACTTAAGTATCCGATGATGTTCCCACGCAGTAGCTCTGTGGCCATAGGGACACCAGCATCCCCCAGGCGCCCACGTGCAGGGCCAGGCAGGGCTGTCCTGTGATGGATGTCCAGCCAGAAGATGGAATGTGGATGGAAAGTCCTGCTCTAAGTGCCAGATAAAACGTATATTTTGTATACGATGGTTGCGATGTGCGATGTGTCGTACGAGTGAAGATTATATTTGACTATCCAGAAGATTGTTCGACGCGAAGCCATGTAACGCATATGTAATGGTTGTTTTATTGTTATAATGCAGAATATGAAAAGATACTGAAAGCTCTAAAGGTAGTAGAGAACCTTCACATATGCGCCCGTTCTTCATGAGTATCTCGTACGTTTAGTTAAGGCCACACAAGGCCATTAGCTCTGCAAAGTCCACGCTGTCCGACTGCTTGAGATCCATTAGCTTGTTGTACACGAAGGACAAGTGTCCGCAATTGTCAGAGAAAGTAATTATGTGTTTAAGACCCTGAAAACATTTAAAGTGTGTATGCAAAAGAGTTAACTGCATCTAGGGACTATGCACACTCACCTCAAGGGTCAATTCGATAGCATCACATTGTGATTCTTTACCTATGACTGCAAATAAAGCGTCGTAGACTTTGCGTATGCTTCCACTTAAATGAAACAGCAATTTCCACGCCTTACGTGTTTCAGTCTGTACCTTCTCTTGAGCGTTCTCGTCCAGTTGCCAAAACTGACACCCATCGTCTAAATAGTGAGTTGGATCATTTGGGAAACTATAAATCAGACGAAATTTGTAGAGAGGGTGTGGATCCTTTACGCCCGAGTTCCTAATTTCAAACACTTGACCTCCATCGACATTTTTAACCGACATACCGCCGATAAGGGTGTACTTCTTGCCACTCGTACAAATCAACTGACCAATACTGGCCAGAGCTCTTTTCAAGTCCACATCAAAATGGAATGCTATCAAGCCGGGAATAACATAGCCGCTTCGTACACCTGGATGACGTACATCAGTCTTCAAATCTCTAGACACAATTTCTCCGTCCTGAACTACATTATTCGGAGTAATCTTGAACGGCATTGCAAGGACCAGCAGTTGTTTTTGATCAGAGTGATTAATATCTTTGGGACAGTAGAGAAACGTGCATTACGAATATGCGTCTGGGATCGTAAAGAATGTAAAACTCACCTGCTCCTATAAAACGAAATTGTCCTTGGAAAATGGAGTTTATATCGTAGAAGGCTTTATATATTTTCTGGTTAATCTCTTCCATATCGTTGGAAATTATCGGAGTATCCAAACTCTCTTCCGATACTTTTTCAAATAATAAATCAAACGCTTCTTGTAGTTTCAACGGCATCGCGAAAATTTTCGTTTTTTGACTTCTTTTTTTTGCGGCAAGTAATAAATTTATGCTGATGCACGACGCTGAGTAGATGGACTCGATACTTTTCACAAGTATCGTAGAGAATGGCCGAGCTGCCAGACAGCCAGAATAATCGTGACAGTAATATTCTTCATATTCGATATTCCTATGTATTTTAGGGTTTTTTGGGTTTTTTGGGCTTTTGGGGTCGCTGATTACGAATTTGAAGTCAGTTTTCTTGTTTCGAGATTTACCGAGCTCTTTTCTCTTCAAAAGATCTATTTCAAGGGAGAAGATGTAGATGTAGATGTAGATGTAGCAAGGCCGGGGAGTATCCGGCCTTATTAGATCCGCCATTTTGAATTTGAAAAGTCCACCATGTTTTGACCATGTTGGTTTTTTGAGGTTAGAACAAAAAAACCAGAGTTGTAGTCCTTCAAAATTAATTTTGCGAAATGTTAGCTTTTCGTTTTTTTTGTTCGCTGTTTTTCATAAGTGATCTAAAAAAAAGAGTTTTGCATAAGGCCATAGAAAATCCCTGGTCGTAGTCACAGTATTAGGGGGTATTGAGACCAACCGAGACAGCCTGCTGTGGCACCTTGAAAACCAACTCGGTTGGAGGTCGGCCTGTGCTCCGAGAAAGGCTTGTTTTGCCTCCCACGAGAATGTGAATCGCAGAGGAAACGACTCTGCCAGAATATATGTATGCACATACGAGTATGTTTGGAAAAGATCTAGGAACTAACCCGAATGCAGTCATCACAATTACCGATTTGACAGCCAGCGCCGTCGAGAGGAGGGCAACAGTCTAACAAATTCTGATTGAAATTGTTCGCCGGCACTGACAGCTGCTGTCAGGGTGCCAAAAGAGTGGGGAAATGTAATTGTATCTGAATCTGTGTCTCTTTGTTTGCCCACACTCACTCGCTGTCTCTATCGATGGCTTTTGGCAAATTTGTTTTCTGTCTTTTGCATAATTTAGTGGCATAACAATTCGTGAAGCAAACACTAATTTCCAAATGAACACGAGTGTCGTATTCTGAAAAGCTGGGTGCACAAGGGGCAGGCCTATCCTGTGGATCCAAAATCAAGAACATTTAGCATTTTTCGATGAGTGTATGGAGCATTCGAGGCCCGGCTGCTCTCGATTGGATTCCCCTATCAAGTGGCTCATTTTAAAGGGAAAACTATTCGTAGACTACTATCCCTACCCCGAACTGGAGCTAATCTTTCGTTGCGTAATCCAATCTGATTGTGCGGTAGTTAAACTGCCATCCGGTCCTCTGAAGGGCGCCTAATGAGGCTACTTGGCCGTATTGCTTCTGGCCCATTAACGCATTCGCTGCTTTGGCCCCCAAACTTTGCCGTTAATTGACAGGCCACTTAAGACCCAAAAGCAGTGGGTGCCCTGTGCTTGGGTGAGATTTGTTCCATCACTTTGGCTTTAATCAGTCTTTAGTTTAGTGTCGGCAGCTGAAGCTGCGGAGCTCTGAAAATACCAACCTTTGGGTCCGCCAAGGAGCATTCCAGTCTATTCCAATGTGCTCCCAGTATGCTGTGGCCGCTCAATGGCTTTCCAATCATCCAAAGAGCATTTCACTTCCAGGGTTTTCCCAGGAAGCTGTGGCCGCTTTACCTAATTAACTGCGGAATGTTTTTCACGGGAATCTCCGCCCGCCTTCCCGCCCCACCCTGGCGCTCTTCCACGTAATTTGAGTAATGGCTCCCCATGCGGCCTCTCCTGAAATGAAATGAAACTTTAAGAAGGCATCCTCCTCTCATAAGCTTGCTTCATCTTTAAATCGCTTGAAGAAAGGTGTAAATTGTTGGTTTTACTTGAAACTTCGGAGGACACGGAGAACCCTGAAAGTAATGATTTCTGATTATTGATTGAATGTTTATTGCATAGAATATACTTTGAGCAAATGCCTTTCGCTCTAATAACCCCCAATAAGGCAGTGGGACCATCAGCAGCCATCAAGTCGTAAAGAAAGCCGTAAAGAAGTGCCGAACATTATGTGAGCAAAACATTCCGCATGTTAATATCACAGCAAAATCAATACAAATCGCTGGAGGAGAGTGGACGTGGCAGTGGAAGCCCTAGGACTGCCAATCAACATCGGATTTGTCCAGGACTTACCGACACTTGCGTACAGAATTCTGGGACAGAGGGTACATATATATCGTAGTGAATGGATTTCCACTACAAATATAAATAATAACTGAGGCAACGCGGGCTATTAGTAGAAGACGGCCAGGAGGAAACTAATTCCCAACATTTCCCGACAGGGGAATGAAAACTGTGTGTGTAATGGGGAAAAGTGGGTCCTTGGGACAGGCACAAAAACAGAATACAAAACGAGCCACCTAGCATAAATGTCGCTAGTTGTTATGGGAAATGTAAATGTATCTCGTAGACACACAAAGTATCTGACATGTTTATGTATCCTCAACCCCCACCCGCCCCCATGTGTTGACATGGGTGCGTGTATATGGGATGGATGGATGGAGGGGCCATAAGTTCGTTTCATGTTTTGGGCCACTATTTTGACACTGCGAAAATTTCCATTTACAATACATATCAAGCAGCCACCTCCCAGGTCCCTCATTTGCTGGAGTGTTCCGGGAAAACACACCCAATTTATTTAGCGACTTGAAGCATGAGGGGAATAATGACCAAGCAGATGGAATCTGACTGACTGAAATTATACTGCTATCTTCTACCACAGAGAATGTTCGTTCCAGATTACATATGAAATCGCCAAATGGAAATTCCATTTGCTGTGACATTTCGCCCGTTTGTAAATACTTTCAATGTTCGTTCCTGTAGTAACACTTCCACAGAGTACGAGTATCAATCCCAGCACCAAGGTCATTCGCGAGTGAGTCTCGAGTCACTGATTAACTAATCAGTCTCCGCGCCAGGGAATGCTCTCTCACCTTCGTCCGGTGCACCCGTTTTGCACCGATCGAGTGCCACCAAAGGTGTCCGCTTGAATCCTGTGTTTACCTACTCTTCACTCTTAAATACTTGATTTAAGAGTTCCAACTAAAGCATAGCAACTAAAATTAAAAAAAAACAAAAACAAAAACAAAAAAACAGTTCCACTGGAATCTGTTTCCCTTAATCACTAATAGATCACTTTTCACACTGTTTTGCACACATTCCACAGTTTCGCTGCTCGTTGCTGCAATTTCAGTATTGTGATCGCAAAAACGAGTAGTCCTGCGGCCAGCCATTACCCGTTAGTGTCGGTCACAAAATGAAACTGCAGCACGGGACCAGGTCCCAGGTGCCAGGTCCCAGGTGCCAGGTCCCAGGGGAATGCCACCACACGGTCACACAGTCACACAGACACACGGACACACGGTCTGGTCTGAGAGGAATCGCGGAATCGCGGAATTACGGGACGGGATCGTTGCGCGCCGATGGAGCGCTGATAACGAAATGAATTTCAGTGGCGATCACGAGCGCGATAAATACGCGCAAATCGAGGCCGATGCACAGATCTAGCTCAGAGTGTAATTCAATCGATGATCATTATCCGCCCGATTCCGCTCTCTCTCTCTCTCTCTGTCTAGCTGTCTCTCTGTCTCTGTTTCTCTGGGCATATCCCTTTCGCCTTTCGCCTCCCATCTAATGCGGTCTGCGTCGGCTTCTGTCGCCGCCGCGGCGGCCTGCTAATCACAGTTTCCAATAAAAGCACTCGTAGATGTCTCTGTATCTGTATCTGTATCTGTATCTATGTCTATTTGCATATGCATGCACTTACTCATACGCAAACTGTTGTTCCGTGGCATAGAGGCGCCTTTGTCTTTGTCATTGGATGTTTTTGCGGTTTGTGCCTCTCTGCCAAACAGCCGGCTTGCCCCATTAGTTGCAGCAGCAGCTCTCACTTGATAGATACAATTACTGTTAGCCTCCTTGAGGAGGCACAACACCCTTCTGCTGCCCGTCGTCAGCGTTACGGTTATTGTCACTGTTGGGGCTTCCCATCTTGGTTCCCTTTCCGCCTCCTCAATAGCACTTGAATATGTATTGGGCAATAGCTTCAAAATTCCGTTTTAAGTAAGGCTTGAGCAGGTCCCATTAATGGAGAAACTGCAGAACTGATCAGTGATAAGGATTCCAGAAGGTAGCGTATACTGATGGGTCTACCTTTCAGTGGGATCCCCCTGATGGGGTGCTCATCCGCTCATCAGCTCTGGCCAAAACTTAAAGATTGCTCCCACTCCCATCCACTCATCACAAGGCATCTATTATGTAAATAGCATAAAGGCTTCGCTTCAGTCCAGTCCAGTCCAGTCCGCAGCTAGATCCAGAGCCAGGCAGAGAGAACAGAGCACAGAGCGGACTCGTTTCATCAATTTTTCATAGGCTTTCCCATTTAGTCCGTTAGTTTTCCATTCACTATCTGAGTATCTGTGTATCTGAGCTATCTGCATCCGTGTGTGTGTGTGTGTGTGTGTGCATATTTTGTAATTCAAATCGTTTTTTCTATGCCTCTTGCGGTTTTTTTGGTCAGAAGCCAAACAAGGGGTGCCCGTGCCCTCCTGTGCTCCTCTCCCCCTCCGAGCATCTGCCGGCCGCAGTCGAAGTGGGTCGCACACAGTTGGTGTTGCCTGTACGGCCGCACAAAGCGGCTTACTCGGCCGGACCCGTGCCCATACCCATACCCGTACCCGTACCCGAACCCTTGCACTTTTCGACTTCTTCTCACCCTTGGGGGAGGGAGGTTGTGAAGCGGGCACCCCCTTCTTCTCCTTTGGAGTTGGTTTTTCTTCAGCGCCTCTTATCTCTGTTTCCGCAGCCGCCCAAGCACTGCTATGCCCCTCCCCTGCCCTCTCCAGCCCCTCCATTTCCCATTCCCATACCCATACCCATTGGGAAAGTCTAAGCGGCTTACGAACGGTAATTTTAGCCATGTGCCGCGTCGCTATTCGCCATTCGCCATTCGCTATCCGTTTTATCCAGTATCAGCGCAGGTTCAGGCAACCCGCTGTCCTTGTGCCCCTGCTTTGGGGCATGCTTTCTTAAAGGAGGAGGGAGAGTATTTCAAAAGTTACTGCAGACTGCAGGAAACGTTTGCTACGTGAGGAGAATGCATACTCGTTGGGGCTGAGGCTGGGGCTGGAGCTGGGGCTGGGGCTGGGGCTGGGGCTGCAGCTCGGACTGGGGCTGCAGATGCAGATGCAGAAGCACTCAGTTGTTAAACTAATCCTTTGATTCTTTCGACTCTTCTTGCAGTGCACTCGTTGCCGCATCTGACGGTGCTGAGCCTCTCCGGCTGCAGTAAGCTAACAGACGATGGAGTCGAGCTGATTGCCGAGAACCTGCAGAAGCTGCGCGCCCTTGACCTGTCCTGGTGTCCCCGCATTACGGACGCCTCGCTCGAGTATATCGCCTGTGATCTGAATCAGCTGGAGGAGCTGACGCTGGATAGGTGAGTCCCCCAAAGAGGCAACGACAGGCAATCGACAGGTTCTATATTCACTGCTTTCTCCGTCAGATGCGTGCACATCACGGATATTGGCGTTGGATATGTGTCCACGATGCTCTCGCTCACCGCGCTCTTCCTGCGCTGGTGCTCCCAGGTGCGGGACTTCGGGCTGCAGCACCTCTGCTCGATGCGCAACCTCCAGGTGCTGTCGCTGGCCGGGTGTCCGCTGCTGACCTCGTCGGGGCTGTCCAGCCTCATACAGCTGCGGCATCTGCAGGAGCTGGAGCTCACAAACTGTCCGGGGGCATCGCACGAGCTCTTTGACTATTTGAAGGAGCACTTGCCGCGCTGCTTGATAATCGAATAATCGATTGAGAGATCGCTCGTTGACACTCTGAACACTGAACACTGAATACTGAACACTAAACACTGAACTTTACTTTACTTTCCCTTTCCCCCCAACCACTTTGGAAACTGATTTTAGTTACGAACTATGTATGTATCTATGAGTATGCTAATTTGTACATTTATCTTTATTCGGCAAGTTCCTAACTACCTTGCTCTTACCCTATACCCTCCACCCTCTACCCTATACCTTATGCCTTATGCCCCCAACCTCCAACCCCCACTTACTCGCGTATAGTTTTAGAATTTTTTTGTATGATTTCTGCTGTGATTTGGAACGGAACTAAGTTAAGTTGATCTGTTTAAGACGATGTACCACAAAAGACCCAAAGATGATATTTATTTACATGCAATATAAATATAATATGTCTAATATACAAATAAAAATATATTTATAAATATACATACAATACATTATTTATATTATGGTAGTTTTAACGGACCTTTTATCTATTATATTATTCTCGCTGTAACTAAACATACAGATACAGATACTGATTCAGATACAGTCTAATTGTAAATTACAAAAACACGAATGTCTGTCAAATCGAAACGAAACATTGCGCCCAAAATACTACCAAATGCTAAAAGAATCAAAATATGCAATTAATCCACACTAGTTCAAAGAAACCAACTAAGAAATGAAGTAAATTTCATTAGAAATTATATGAAAATATTTACCAGTTTACTTAGAAGAGCAAGAGGCATGGCATGCAAGACAGCTCGACTTGCTGGACAGCTTTAGATGGAAATGGAATCAAAGTCCAAAACTATACACTCCCCCGAACCGAACCGAAGCCCGACCAGGGAAACCCCCCTCCCCAATTTGATTGTAGTCCTGTAATTAACGTATGACCCGACAGCTAAACATGTATTTTAAGCAGAGAACCGGAAACGGAAAGTGCACGCTACGAATGAAGTCGAATCCCTGTGGAACAATCCCTTTCCTTCGCGAGCAGCATGTGCTAGTATCATCTAGACTACATTTTAGAGCTGTCTGTTGTTCTTATCAAGAGAAGCCGCAGAGCCCACTCACACACACACCTATTCTCTACTGTAAATGTAAATGCTTTGATTTTTTTTTTTTTTTTAATTATTAAAATGTGAAATCGTTTCATGAACACTGAACAAATGCGGATTGCAACTGGCAATCTAAAACCAAAAGCAAAAAACATCTACAAGTACATGATAACATAAATAAATGCAAAACTGAATTTAAATTGGGGCTTTATCTCTTTTTATCGGTGCCGCAGCCGCCAGCTTAGTGGAACGAGAATCGAGTAGACTATGGGCATATTGGATACATTGGATACCTAAAAACTTTAGGAAATCTAAAATATTGCCGATCGCCCCAAGGGTATCAATTGCCCTAATCAACGTCTAGTGCTTTACCGTAAAATGCCATTCAAGATTACTCCGACTAAGATAATTCAAGTCGGAGACATATCGGTTTACACTCTGAGGACAGATGTACGTCATCCAGGTGTACGAAGCGGCTATGTTATTCCCGGCTTGATAGCATACTTGTTTGGTGTGGATTTACAAAGACCTTTATGAAGACCACCGCCATAAAGGGTGAAGACCCTCTTTTCCAATTTCATCTCAGCTATAATTTCCCAATGGGTCGAAGATTTGGTCACTGGGCCAGAACACTAGAGAATGCACTGAATGAAACACATAAAGCGTTGAGTTTGCTGGTGAATTTAAATGGAAATATACCCGAAGTCTACGACACTTTATTTACAGCCATTCGTGAAATGGCATATGCTCTAAAATCTGATGCTATCAAAATGACCCTTGAGGTGAGTATACATAGTCCCTAAATGCATTTAACTCTTTTGCATACACAGTTTAAAGGCTTGCAGGCTCTTAAACACTTGTCCTAATGGATTTTAAGCAGTCGGACAGCGTGAACCTTGCAGAGCTTATGGCCTTGTTTGGCCTATATTAAGCGTACGAGTTACTCATGAAGAATGTTATTTTAATAAAGCAATAATTAGTCTTGATTTTGATCTTTCAAATCACCAGCGTGTGCTATGAAATCGCAGTGGTAAAACTGGTAAAAATAATAGGCAGTCTACACTACGTATGTATTTACAATGTCCCAGCATTTTTGCTTTATTTTCCTGCGTCGGTGATTTTCTCAATAGAAGAAGATCCATAACAGCTGGACTCGTCTTTATTTCAGGTTGCATGATGCATGCTTAATAGTCAGAACGTGTAAGAATCGCGGGAGATATCATTCCTCACACGCACCCTCGCCATCCTCGTCATTGTCGTATTCCGTATTATCCTCGTTTTCTTGGTCGTCCTCTTTGCCTTGCTGATCCCACCAGGAGAGTACGCCCAGGCCGGACTCGTTGATAGCCCCCTTAAAAACGGGCCAAGAATGATTAAATGTGCAGACTATAGGAATGGGTCTGACTTACAATAATCTTGTATGGAGTCTTGATTTCCTGCGCAGCGGTAGCGGCAGCTGTGGATGTACTGGGGCCCTGCGTGCTCTGTGACTCCGTTTTTGGCGGCCCAACTGGCGATGTCTCCTCGAAGATTTCACGCGATACTCGGAATTTGATAGGCTCACCAACGTCCATAAAGAGATCATGCTTTGCGCCGTCCTCCAAGGGATACTCCCAGACCCAGGCCTGCTCGGCCTCATCAAAACGCGAGGGATGCTGCAAGGCGGCTTGTGGTATAAGTATGTCATCAAAGAAGCCCAGCGTCACGTGGACTCCTTCACGGCTGCAGCTACGTATTTTGCCGGTCATTACGGTGCCGACCTTGGGCCGGAAAACGATGTAGCGAAAGACCACTGCGGTGTGGGAGGCACCGTCGCCCGGTAGAATAATGGAGTCTTGCAGCGATACGATATCCTTGAGCGCTATGCAGAGGCCAACGTTAAGTAGCACCTAGGAACATAAACGAAGCAAATGCAAATCGGAAATTATACTTGAGCCAAAGAAAACAAAACAATTTGAACATACTTTATTGGCCAGTTTTCGGTCGATTTCGTCGCGTATAGCATCCACCAACTTTACACTGAACTGGTCCGGCGCAATGCGCACGGTATCCTTTAGCTCGGCCAGCACAAACATTGTGCCATATATATATTAATTGATATTTCAATTTAAATTTTAATATTTATGAAGAATCACGCTTGTAGCTCCAGTATCTAAAAATACTAGATTGTTGTCCGGCGCAACAGCTGCGCTGCCATAAAATACCAAAACAACGTTAACGCGCCGCTGTGAACGGCAGCGACACACGTGCAGAGTTTAACCACTTGGCGAAATTTTAATTGAAATTTCACATTTGTGGTAAAAGTTTGTGCGCTATAAATATACTGGTCTGTGCGGTGGACTGCAACTGGCCGATACTCTCCCACGATGAGCGACGACCTACACAAGTACAGCGACGCGGAGGAGGATTTGGAGGAACTGAAAAATGTAAGCCTAGCCCACAGGTATCACATCAAATTGCAAAAACGTATCTTTTTAGTCGGAGTGGATGCAAGACTTCAAATCTCTCACCGTGAAACACGAACCGAAACCCAGCGATGAGCAATGCCAACAAGAAGGAAAAGTAGAAGCTGGTGAGGATCTGGATTACGATTATGATGAAGAAGACGACGACTACGCACTGGGCGATGAATACGATGCGTACGAGGAGGCCTACAGCGGCTTTAGCAAGCACAACACACAGCCGCAGATGACAACAGCTGGTTCAGCTGCTGCTGGAGGTGGAGCAGGAAACGGTGGAGGCGCTGCTCCACGTGTGAGCAGTTACCAGCCCAACGAAAAGCTGCTACGGCGATACTCTGCACGCATCAATGTGGAGAAATATGATCCGACTCCGAACATGAGTGCCCAGGCGGCCAACCGGTTAGTCAACTTTGATCGCCGACAGGACACGGATCGAGTGCGCGTGAGAGATAAGCACGATCGAGCCACCGCAGAGCAGGTGATGGATCCGCGCACGCGCATGATACTCTTCAAGCTACTCAATCGCGGCCTGATCCAAGAGATTAACGGCTGCATATCGACGGGAAAGGAGGCAAACGTCTACCATGCTGTGTCCAAAGACGGCGCCGATGAGTATGCGATCAAAATTTATAAGACCTCCATTCTGGTGTTTAAGGACCGCGACAAGTACGTGTCCGGCGAGTTCCGGTTCCGACACGGCTACTGTAAGCACAATCCGCGCAAGATGGTTCGCACGTGGGCCGAGAAGGAGATGCGCAACTATCTACGAATGCGAAATTCTGGAGTGCCCGTGCCGGAGCCGATTCTGCTCCGATCCCATGTGCTGGTTATGCGCTTTTGCGGCCGGGACGGCTGGCCGGCGCCCAAGCTAAAAGACTACGAACTGAGCACGTCGAAGGCGCGAGAGCTGTACCGGGACTGTGTGGTGATCATGTGGCGGATCTACAACCAGTGCCGCCTTGTCCACGCCGATCTCTCAGAGTTCAATATTCTGATGCAGGACGGCCAACTGGTGATTATCGATGTCAGCCAGGCAGTCGAGCACGATCATCCGCATGCATTCGACTTTCTGCGCAAGGACTGCACCAACATATCGGAATTCTTCCGCAAGAAGTCGGTAGCCACCATGACTGTCAAGGAGCTCTTCGACTTCATTACCGACCAAACGATAACCGAGGAGAACATGGAGCAGTGCTTGGAGAGCATCTCGGAGCGCATTAAAGACCGCGACTTCGATGCCATAACGGCACAGGAGAGAATCGATGAGGCCGTCTGGCAGAACACATACATTCCCAAGCGCTTGGACGAGGTAGGCAAACGACAGCTTCTAGTCGACAACTGTTTTATAAACACAAATCTCCTCCCCAGGTGCGTCATTTCGAGCGTGATGTTGCCAAGGCAAAGCAAGGTGTGCAGCAGAATCTAATCTATGGGAAAATCACCGGTTTGACATCCGATTTGGACGTGCAGAAGCAACCAGACGTATTGCAGCCCACAGCCGAGCAAGAGGACGTGGGAAGCGACGACCAAATAAGTGAAAGCGAAGATGAAGATGATTCCCAGGACAACGACGATGGCTCCAAGTTCAAGAACTCGTCCCGTCCGCGGGACGAATCGCTGGAGAGTAAAAAGGCCCGCAAGAAAGCTGTGAAGGATGCCAAAGCGGAACAGCGAAAGGTCAAGGTGAAAAAGCATGTTAAGAAGCGCAAGGAGAAAATAGGCACCATGAAGAAATAGTAAGGCCACCACGATTCGAATTAAGCGCAAGAAACTGTCGATGTAGCTACCGATATCGGTAGATCTCCGGAGTGCATGGAGTCAATGTGGATCTGTAGTCTTACATTTTTTGTATAAATCATTGATATCAATAAGAGGCCTCATTTATAAAATTTAACTTTAGATTCTAGTCGGATCCATTATTTGTGTAACCGGTACTCGAAGAGTTTAGGGATAATTAGTTGTGTGTTGCATGTGGATGTCTGTAGCACCCAGAAGGATCAGCGCGTAAATCTCAGAGACTATGAGGGCTAGAACAACCACAATTTTGTATTCCGCCCTCACACAGGACGACTATCTGTGGCATCCACCCTTCCGAAGATATTTATTATTGTACTGAGTATAAACAAATCGACTTGCAGTGGCTATGCTACCACTTTCACGCGCCTATTCATTCTCTGTCTCTTTCTCGTTCACACTATTCCTCATGCAATGTGCGGCGCATGTCGAGAAGCAAGATAGCAACACAGTTGGTGTTGCTGTGAGAAGTGAAAGAGAAAGACAGATGTAGCAGAATAAAAAGCAGTCGAATAAAACAGGTGGAAAAATTAGAACATAGCAGTCGTGGTTGCTCTTTTCTCTCGATGCTTTTCTGGGTATAAGAGCGTTCCCACTCGTTTTTATTGTAAAATTCGAATTCAAATCACTTCAACCACAAACAATATGTATAAAACTGTGCAGACGCCTTGGAGCTGGCCCCTTTGCTGATTGATGTCCAGCCCCAAGGAGCAAGGTGAGGCTGTAATCCTAACTGCTTAGAGCTACATAAACTTAGATCTAAAATTTGTCTTGTCAAGGGTTAAAATACTCGCACCACAATTTGCAATGGATGAGCAGTGGACAGTGAGTACATGCCCGGCCGTACATAATATATACAATATACATGGAAGCATTCATAAATCGAACAATCACAGCGTTGACATTGGCTACAACTACAAAGGGAATAAGATTCATCAGTGCCCTGGACCCCGTGGCTCGAGGATCGTGGCTGTGTTCAGGCGTAGCAGCGCTTGCGCAGGCTGATGTACATGAGGATGCGGAAGAAGAGCATCAGCATTGCCAGTATGCCGAACTGGTGCATTAGAGAGACCTTCTCTACGTCGAGAAACTTGAGCAGCACGCGCGGATCGCTGAAGTGGCAATAGATATCGTCGCAGTCCAGATCCTCGCGCTGGAACCCGAACACGGCCAGGATCATGGCAACCACTCCGACGCGCACATAGCTGAACTTCATCAGCAGATTCATGGCGCCTGTGATTTGGGGAGCAAAGTCGAAGCCGTACACGGCCAGTCCCATCAGTGGGGCAATCATCATGGGACCCACGACGCTGCCGTTCTGCAGAGAGGGATGGAGAAGGTGTATGTTATTCGATCGTTCCCACTGTATTCATTCGCTTAGCAGCACTTACTGTTATGCTGAAGGTGGCCCCAATGGCCAGGCCCATGCCCTCGGCCACCAGGGAGATCATGAGGCCGACTGCGACGAAGATGCCAAATCGCCAGATCTGATCCGGCAGCCCGGACATCCAGTAGGTGACCATCATAAAGGTGATGTTCAGCAGCACCTGGAGCGGCAGGCGCGAGATGGTCAGCGCCATATAGTAGGGCGTCAGCGTGTACCATCGATTGAACGTCTCCTTCTTGACCACCTTAACCTCGGCGGGATCTACGAATGGAGGAAGGTCAGTGGGTACGCTCGACAAGGGCCCTATGAGGCGACTCACAGCTAAGGATGGGCACCATCACCTGGGTGTAGACAATCATGAGGACGGCGCCAATGCAGAACTTGAGATGATCGAACATGCGCGCCCCCTGATTGCCCAGCTGAAAGAATATCATCCCGAAGAAGAGGCCGCAGAGCAGGTGGTGGAACAGCTGGATGGTCAGGGCCAGGCGGGCGCGCATTATGCGCAGCATCATGATCCGTATCAGCACCACGAACTGCCGCACCCCGGAGATATCACGACGCCCGTTGTGCATGCGTCGCGAGAAGGCCTTCATCTGCTCCAGCAATGCACTAGCGCCGTTCATCAAAGTGCCATCGGTGGAGACGGCGCTGCCGGCGAAGATTGTGGGCAGGAGTGGACGCTTCGGCTGCTCCACAAACAGCGTGGTGACAGCCTGCTGCGACTCCAGGTGTGGATTAACGATGTCCGCCTGGCTGGCCACGTAGATGAGCTTGCCGTTCTCGGTGAGCTCGCTGAGCGCCGGCACCAGGTGCCCGTCCTCTGCGTCGACCAGTTCGATGACTTGTGGGAGAGCGAAAAGCCGAGTTAGGGAGGAGTTCTTGCTGGAGAAGAATGAATAACTTACTGTAGTCAGAGGGACTGTAGTTGCGCGGGCAGTCCAGCTGGGCTAGCCGCAGAAATGGAATGGTGGCCCGGGGACTGCCCTGATAGACGCAGTGTCCCTTGGCCAGCACGTATATGCTGTCGAAGCAGTTGTAGATCGTGGCGGAGGGCTGGTGGATGGTGCAGACAATGGTGCGTCCCTCGCGGGCCATGCCACGCAGCAGTCGGATGCACTGGGCCGCCGTCACCTCGTCCAGCCCGCTGGTGGGCTCGTCCAGGAAGAATATGTTCGGGTTGTCCACCAGCTCTAGGGCAATGGAGAGCCGCTTACGCTCCCCGCCGCTCAGTTTCTCCGCCGTCACGTTGCGGCGGTGATTCAGGTTGAGATTCTCGAGGATCTCTGTCAGCACCTCGGCCTTCCTGTGGCGCTGCTTTAGCTTGAGGTCGCACGAGAGGTTCATCAATTCCTCGACGGTCAGCAGGGTCTGGTGGTGGTCGTCCTGAGTGATGTAGCAGGCATTATCCCGTTTCATCTTGATGCACCCCGTAACGCCGTCGCGCCTGGAAGAGAGAGCGAGAGACAGAGATTGATTGTGTGCAGAAAAGAGCAGAAAAAGGAGAGCATGGAAAGAGCGAGCATCTCTTCCGCTCCCTCGCACTTCAACTTTTTCACCCGGTCCAAGCGTGCTTTTCCATCAAATGGTTAAAATGCTGCGCACGTGTGTAATGAAGTGTGGTGTTTTTTAGCGCTAAACATGTGCTGGATCAAGGGCGGGAGCGCAGCAAGAGGCAAAATGGCAACGAAAACGCAGATCGACAAAGGAAAAGTGCGGAAAGTGAAGAAGTGAAGAATATCAAAATGTGCAAAAGTCAGCGGAGCAAACACTGCCTCCAATAGTGCCAATAAGGCGGGGAGAATAGTCGAATAGTGTTTTCTTTTGTGTTTTTTTTTTGAGTGCTAGAAAAGTCTTGCCGATACCGTTTCTCCCTCCGACGAAACCACGGAATCGTCGGCTTCTCAAGTGTGGAGGAAAGGATCAGCAAATGCAGCAAGGCAAACGTACCGACGAAAGATTATGAACCAAAAGGTAAGAGCAAGAACAGAGTGTGGTTGTGAAATGACTCCGATGACAAATGCTAGAAAAACTTTAAAGTATTTATATACCTATACTCGTACTTCTGTATTGACTAGACATGACTTTAGTTGGGGCCCCAGCTTTGAATTTGTTTTTATTTGTGCACCAGGGCCTTTGTTTACCTAGAATTGGGCCTCTGTCCATGACTGCGCAAATGGAGCGTGTTTTGTTTTGGAAAAGTTCCACGATGCGATCCATCACGTGCACAGAATTGATTCGAAAGGTTTGTGAGGGAAGATTGCTATAGATGATTTTTTTGCGATGTTAAAATTTCGGGTTTTGGTTTACGGTTCGCAAGACCGGCCTTATCAAATCAGAAACAAAACACAACTTAATCTCTGTCTGTGCAGCCCAGAACCGGTTGTGTTCAAATGATACCCAAACTGTGTTACACTCGTGCTGTCATCCGTCAAAAGTCAGGTCTCGTTGGCATTATTGTTCTCACCTGAAACCCGAAATCGCATTCAGCAAACTGCTTTTTCCAGCTCCCGAGGGTCCCATGATGGCCGACAGCTGGCCGTTTCGGAAACTTCCGCTGACGCCGTTCAAAATTTGTCGCTCCCGAGTTACGCGCACTGGAAATACATAGATCAAGACATTCAAGATTATACACACATATGATTAGAATTCGCATAGTATAAATAAAACGAATAAAAAACAAGTAAATAAACAAAAAAAAAGGGGGAGGAAGTGAAAGTGTTTGTGAGTCAGTTCTTGAGTCGTCTGGAGCTATAACCCACCGTGACGTACCCACGATTGTTCCTCCATCTGGTTGTTCCACTCTGAGTTTGCCAATGAAGCAGCATAGTGGCTTCAAATCAAGTTTCTTTATTTTTATGGGCCAATATCGTCAACTGGACAGATCATATCGCTTTCACTTATTGGCGGATACATACATATGTATTTAGATACGCTTGGAAATCAGACAGAACTTCAGACATAGGTCGAGCAATTGACAATTGGCATGACTGTATGACTTATTATAATAATCATTTGTCATGCCTTGACAGCGAAAAGATTTCGTCGTGATGGGCTTCAAAGATTCGGGCTAGACTGGAGATCTGTTCCGATGCCATGACTGGTCAAACCGAAACCAGCCTCCGCCATGATCGCCGAATTCTGTTCAGTCATTTAAGCCAGTCCGCCACTCAACGCGAGCCTTAATTTATTCTAATTAGCAAAGCTGCCCCGTCGATGGGATGGTGACAGTTGCTGGGGCACATCCACATGTGCCTATAATAGATCCGTGCTGGATCTTGCAGATGCCATATCATCGCTTCTGTGTTCATTTGCAATCGCGGCTCGGACCTGACCTGCATTGTACTCTCGGTCAGTCAGTCAGTCCCAACGTAGATATGGCGTAATATAAGTCAATGCCAGATTCGGTCCTATCGATGATAATGGTGCAAAGGAGATATATATATACTATAGCTGGCGGTCGTAAATACAGCTCGGCGAGAATGCATCAAATCAATGGAATTAGTATGCATATTTAAAGCAAGTTTTTCCAAACAACTGTAAAGCTGCCATAGGAACGATTCGGTTCGATTGACGAATGGAACAAATTATTCATATTGTTTATTGGTGTTTCAGATGGAAATGGGCGTGTTGTGTACTTTGCCCAGAATATTCCTCCCAGGAAGTAGTGGCAGATTATTGTTTAGTCGGTGAGAGGGTGAGGTTATCGGTGAGGGCATTGTACG